CTGGTCTTGTTTCGTGTGCACGTGCTGTCGAGCTACAAATTATCTTTTTGTTTCACCAGATCAATTCACTCTGTCTCCAAGTTTATTCACTTTGAATAAATCAGGATCAACTGTTCTAACCCAGGTTATGACCACTGCTGCAGCCATGTTAAGCAATTCACCTCGAAAGACGACTCCTTGGTATCCTTGGGCTACATCATTTGCTGCGGCGGCTGCAGCCTCATCTGCATCACCAACATCACCCAGCATGATACCGACATCCCAGCAACAAAATCAACACAAATCAGAACCTCATCAATCAAGCCTTTCAAATAGAGTCTCATCAATATCAGTTAGCAACAGCAATGGTAATAATCACTCCAATACCATGACAATTAACACTTTACCTAACAACTCTCATCTTCACCATCATCCTCACCATTTATCCTTAACTCTTCATAATGGAAATGATGTCTCGGCTTCTCACCTTTTACACTCTCACAATCTTCATCATCACCATCATCGCCACTCAATGATGATGGACATTGATGGCCCTAAATCAGAACCCTCTTCCCCCGTAGCTGGACTTACCAAATCTGTAGATTTATATCACAACCATGGATCTCCTGATTCGCGGACTTGTTCACCTGAATCACGATCAGGTAAAATGGTTCACCATCCAGACACTCCAGTTGAAATTGACATGGAAGAAGGTGTTTCATCTGATTCCGATTGTGAATCGGATATTGCAGGACACACAAGCTTTGATAAGGGTAAAGATGATGGATCAGGTTCAGGTCAAGGTATCAACAGTGGACCCAATAGACGCAAGAAAAAGACTCGAACAGTTTTCACTCGAAGTCAAGTTTTCCAACTGGAGTCAACCTTTGATATTAAACGTTACTTGTCCAGTTCCGAGCGAGCCGGTTTAGCGGCATCTCTTCACCTCACCGAGACTCAGGTTAAAATTTGGTTTCAAAATCGTCGCAACAAATGGAAGCGTCAAGTTGCCGCTGAACTAGAAGCTCACAGCATGGCTCAAGCTGCAGCTCAAAGAATCAGAGCAGTTCCAATCCTTTATCATCCAGGTCCTCCAACCACCAACCACCTTCACCATCCTCATGTTCCTTCAGTCGAAAGTTCTCTGGGCTCTTCAGGTCCCCCTCCACACCCACCTCCACCCGGTGCCACTGCAGGTCTTTGCACTGTTCCAACTTCCCCCGGAACTCTTACCATAACCAATGGACATTCCGGTGATTCATCAGCTGCTGCAGCTGCATCCCTTCAGGCCGCTCTCTCAACGTACTATTACCACTCGGCTTCTGGCTTGAATCATCATGCAAGTAATTCAGTGGCAGCAGCAGCCGCTGCGGCTGCATTCATTTCTTCCTCTACCTCATCGTCTGTCAACAGCAATATCAGCAGTGTAAGTAATGGCGCTGGTAATGGCAATAACAGTGGCAATAATGGCCTCGGAACCAACAGTGGAAACGGCAACAACTCAAACATAGGTACTAGTTCATCTGGTGGAAGCACAGGATCAATAGTTTCAGTTACATCAAGCCTTCGACCAGCAACATTACCTAGCTTGGTATGAGTAGTTAATGAAAATTAGTTTGTTTAATTTGTTTAATCTGTTTTAACATTTCATAAAAAAAACATTTCATCGAAAAGTACAACAACCAATTCCAACATTCATCTTTACTCTTCTGTAAACACAGTATTTCCATCATCGAACTCAGATGTGATAATGGATATTCAAAATGAACTTTATAAATACTGAACATGATATAAATATATATTGATATTTAATTACACATGAAACTAACATAAATCGTTTCATCGATTTTAACACAATCTCTTTTAGCCAGCGAAGAAAATGTTTTCATGCTTTTTTTTGAGATTTCAATTTTTCTCTCCAACATCATTATCATTAATCATCTAACATTAATTAAAGATTCCATTCCTCTCAACAATCAACATCTTTTAACCATCATCTCAACAACCAAACCCGTCAACACACACAAGCAAAAAGACAGCATTTTCAAGTGCCAATTAACAATGCTAGGATAATCTGTAAGCAATCATGCAAAAACATGTTTAAAACCGATGTTGAGATAATATTGTTTTTAATCTTCCAATCCTGATCCAATTAAGTCTGAAACCCAGAAATAGCAGCAAATTACCCAAATCACCACTAATTAACTTGTACCTAAAAGCCAAACCAAAACCCAAACTAAATCTAATCCAAATTCAATTGACTGTTGATGTTTCATTTTTTTCATTATTACTATTACTATTGTACCATTTGATGATAATCATCTGCCAAAACCAACCAATTAAACTGGTTAATAATTATTATAAATTAACTTGGAAACAATTAATAAAAAATGAAAATTGTACAAAATATGACCAGAAAAAAAGCAAAATAAGCCAAAAAATAAAATATTGATCAAAATGATGCGTTGATGTTATTTCCAATACAAAGTAATCTCTTCATCAGTTAGTCTATTTCACCTGATTATTACTCGATTCCCAGGTTATTTATTAACATATTAATATTTAATTTGATTCAAATACGATGATAATAGATGTATTATTACATTATGATTGTAATAATGTAAATGGTTAAATGAGTAACAATGGGTTTCGCTGTTGAAATTAGCAAAAATTTTAAGCTTAAGCTTGCACTTTTGTACTCAATTTACTGAGCAACTTTAATTTATTAATGATAATCTTTTCGTTGTTAACATTGATCACAATGAAGATTATGATGATGATAAGTGATGATAGTGATTATAAAGATGACAAAGATGAAGATGGAAATGTGAATAAATGAAAAGATGAAACAAATTGTAAACACTTTTCATAATTGAGTTTGTTTCGTCTTCCATCAGCAAGGCAAAGATTAACAATAATTAGCAACTTTGAGTTGAACAATTAAGCATATTTAAGTGACCAATTATCATTGATTATTAACTGTTTGTAGGATTATTAGATGTTTGAAAAGCTTCTTTCAGGTAATCCACTTTTAAGTGACCATTTTAAGTGTCCTTAAATTTGTTTAATCTTAATCTCTAGTTAATTATGGTTAACAATAGAAAGTAGTTATTTAAGTGATTTTTTGACAACAATCAAAGGTTGACTTGATGTTCAAAAGAGGTTCACTGTCAGTTCACCAAATCTCTTGGTTCCTTATTACCTGAGAAAAGGTAAAGGTTTCCTATTCACTTTATCACAACAAATCAAACAAACCAATTCCAATATAAATTGGTTTATAAAAGATTTGCTTAAATCTAAACATATTTTTCTGTTTACTTTTCACTTGTAAGACTTGGATTAGCTCTTAATTTAAACATTTTTGTAAAACACTCAAAGTCTAGTTCTGAATTTCATGTGATGTACCGACAAGAACAAAATATGAACATGAATTTTCAGCTGAATAAGCTTTACTCAACAGATAATCTTCAAGGCAGTTTAGTGGTAAAGTCCGAGTAAAAATGACCGAGAATTGTTTTGACAAATTTAAGGTTAGACAAAAATTTCTCTTTGAAGGGCTTTTATTGATTGTTGGCTTGATCTAAATCATTAGAAACGTTGAAAGTCAAATTAATTTAGTTTTGTCTCGAAATTGGTTTATTATTTGTATATCTTTGTGAATATTAAATTAATATTAGATGATAATTGATGACAATTAAAATTGGGTTAAAAGTGTGTCTTTGAATATCTTAGGGCAAAGTGAATGGCTTTAAATGCTAACCTATTTTTAACCATTTCATTTTTTTGTCATTTAAACTCAATTAGAGGTAAAATAATGTAAGTTAATTGGTTAATTTAGTAGCTTGATGACAACTTTATGATGAAACTGTTGAAAAAAGCTTGCAGGCAAAAATACAATTACACAGTTTGGCAGCAGTTTAATCATAACTGGGAGTTTTGTTGTCAACCTTTTTCATTCACTTTCACTTTAATCAGCTTACAATGAAACAAAAAAAAGGAACGGATAAAAGGAAATGATTAATGAATTAATATTCATTAGACTAGTTAATGATGTCTATCACTGTTAACTGTAATCAACTATTAAACGTTAATTTAGTCGTTTTTTGCTTCAATGTTTTTGTTGCTTTGAAGCCCAAAGAGTTGAGCTGTTTCAGTAACCAAAATGTATGTTTATTGACCATTGAAAATACAGATTTAGAGTTAATAACAGTTTAAATTTAGTTGAAGTAAAATGTTATTGATTGTTTGTTATTGTTTTTGATCATTGATTAGGCTTGCATGTTGTTTTGTGGCTTATTTTAGGTTATTTTTTGTATTATTGATGAATACCATTTCAATGGCTTCAAACCAGTAACTGTTATCATATTATTTGGTAAATGTTTTGTGAAATTGCATCTTATTATTTACAGTTGACTAACATTTGAACAATATTTAGATATCAAATTATTAACATTTAAATAAATACGATATTTTTATCTTTGGCGCCATCTTATTGCTATAAAATCCGCTAATGGCGTTGTTTTAATGGATAATTTGAAGGTTTGCTTTTTTTGTTGATTTTACACTTTAATGTTGATAGTTTTGATCATTAATTTGATTCATCATTGATTTTCTTTTGTTCAACACTCTATTAGAAATGGCTATATTTGGATTCCATCAGAGTAAACATGATTCTCATCAAGAAAAGGTAATTTTGTTTCTTCAACCAATTACTGAGAACAGTTTTATGCAATCAACCGAGTAAAGTTCAATCTCTTTTTTTGTCATCGCCATCATCACTGTTTTTATCAAATCTCTTCTCTAGTCTTAGTATTTCTTAATAATGCTAAGGTCTCACTTCATCATCATCATCATCATCACCACCACCATTATCATCCTCTTCATCAGGCAAGGCGTTTCCATAGGAAGGTGGGATTCCTTTCAAGGTGGAGCCTGTTCTGTGTGTGAATCTATTACATGGTGAAGCTTTTTTCTTGCTTCACTAAAAATATATCGCTAAAGTTAGAAGATGAAATTATAATAATGATAATAATAATGATAGATAAACCAATTGAGAAGAGGAGTGAGAATTGATTAAAACTGTTTAGCTGTTAAGTTAATTAATTATTTGCTTCATATTAAATGTTAACATTGATTAAATACAATGCAATAATATTGTTATTTAAAACTTGTTTATACGTTTTGTAAGCGGAAAAAAAGGTTTCGTCTTTTACTCACATTAACTTTAATTATTCATTATAAAGATTATTTGAGATTAATTCATCTCATTAATACATATGTATTAGAGGTAAGAATTGTATAAAGTTTATTTTACCTTTTACCTGTTAGTCTATTCCGTTTATTTAATTGATTGATTAATTAACTTTCGTTATTATATTTAACTTTGCAAGACTAAATTATAAATGATAACATGTTGAGATTATCATGTTTAAGATGTGTTGGTAATAGTAATTAATGGAGCTAAATAATGATCGATCATGTTTGCTTATGTATAATGATTATTATTATGATTAGGACCATTATTCTCAATTTTTATGATAATCCATTGAGATTTATTTGATGTGATTAATACATAAGTTGATGTGTATTAAATAATAACATTAGCATTGTAATAGGCAAGAGTTTAATGGCTTTGGGTTTGCTATTGTTGAACAGTAAAAAAACATGAAAAAATGTAAACCCAGTTTTTTGTGCTTGACAATTTAATAGATTGTAACTCTGTTAAACCATATAAAACAATTATGTTAACAATATTAGTTTGACTGTCAAGATTCAATTTTTGTTTTATTCACTAAAGCTACTTCAACGTCTAACAGTAATATAAATGATCATCATAATGATGGTTAATGTAATGACAATAATAATAATAATGATAATGAACATTGAATTTTACCAGAAAAAAGATTAAAGTTATAGTTTCTATTATATTTTGTGTATACTTTTGGATAACCTGTAATGGGTATCATGAAAGTAAATAAAAGTACAATCATTAGACGTTATTGTTGTTAAAAGTTGATAAATAAATATAAATCAAGTGCTGGTCTGTTAATATAAATTAAATAGACAAGTAAATCAGGTAATAGTCTTATCTTTTACCTGGATTGATACTAAGGTTGTTGTTGTGTTCATGTTAGATGTTGTAACTGTTATTATTATTGATGTTGATGATCATCTTGTTATTTATTTTTATAAATGTTCCTTTCATCTTGTTGTTGTGTTGCACTTTTAAAGATGTGATGCTTTATGCTAACATTTGGTTGTTTCTTGTGGCTCAGGGAGAGAGAGAGAATAACAAAATATCAGATGATGATGATGGGGATGGGAAGATGAAAAGGATGAGAGAAATGGTTGAAGGTAAAAATAAAGTTGACAGTGTGAAAAACGATACAGAAACAACCCATATAAAAGTGTTGTTTTCAATCTCTCTTGACTATTCTGTTACATATTGTTTGCCATTGTAAAGGTAAGTCGATAATGTTGTCAAACGAATATCTCATCATTAATCTCCATTTTCTTTGGACATGAACTTTAATCAACAACGAATCAATGTGAATCAATAAACACCACCTAACAGGATAACTTGTATTGAACATGGTTTATATAGATGTTATAATTTCCTTCCAATCAGAATCCAAAATGAATGGGTCAACCTTTTGCAGCTCCAAAAAGGCTTTAAAATTGAAACCATTTTAAAGCTAAAATAAAAGAGACGACGAAAGTTGGAAAATTGATTAAATCAACAAATTACTGTTAACCATTATTGATGTAATAAAATTAAATTACCTGATTTATCTGATCTTTTTTTTTCTTGAATTTTTCATTAATCATTGATAGCAATTCTTTCTAATTGGTTCACTTTTCTTTGACCCAATTTTACATTGATTTTTAGGTTAAAGCTAAACGGCTAGCTCGACATTTGAATGGTGGCATTATATTTATCGATTATGAAAGTGCATTAATTGAGTGGTGAAAATGAAATGAATGATGAAGATGGTAAAGATGGTGATGATAGAAGTGATGACTTTATATTGCTAGATTGGAGGAAGAAAAGAAGATGAAGAGATGTAATAAGAATTAACTTGAAATATGAGTTTTCTGGAGTCGTTTTTGCGCCTGGAAGGTTTCTTACTCTCAATGATCATTTGATGGTACAATGTAAAGACTTTTTTATCGGATGAATGAATCTTCCTTATGTTGAAGCAAAACATTAACTGGCTTAACTTTGGTTCCTTTGTTGTTGTTGTTGGTTTACCTCTTCACTTTCCTCATCCTCATCATCACTATCATCTTCATCCTCCTCCTCCTCCTTTTACAGCCTTTCTTCGAGAGTCCATTTTGATGGTTGAATTGCCTTTTTCACATCATCTAGTTGAAAGGTAAATCTGCGCAAAAAGAGAAACAAAATTACATCAGTTTATTCTGTCTACTGTTAATAATGATGACAATGTGTAAACAACAACAAATCAACGAAGGTAATTATAGTTAACAAATTGTTATGTGCAAAGAGTCACATTGTAAGTCACTAGCATAAAATGACTGGCAACCACAAAACAAAGTAGGAAAAAACATTGCTAATGCAATGAAAATCTCAATGAATATTATCGTTGGTTGACAGCAAACTGTCAACACAATCAACTGTTCACTGAAGTCTGAGTAAATTAATAGAGGTATTAACAAAATTAGATAAATGTGACAAAATTATTGATAAACAAAACAAAATGTCTATATGACAATAATGCTAAATAGTAAATGTTATTATTATCATTAAGCCATTGAAAGTAGATGAGGAAAAAAGATGAAATTTTTATCAAAAGATTTAGCTTTTTCCTCTTCACTTTCAACCTTTCTCTTAATAAAGTTAGTCTGACAGTTTGCTAATTTGAATTTAAAGAATACGATGAAATAGAAGTGAAAAATTTAAATCCCTTGAGTTGATGATTCGTTGTTGTTGTTACTGTTGGTGATGAGGATGATGATGATGATGATTATAATGATGATATAATATGAAAATAAAAATTTGTAATTTTCTTTCACTCTCTCTTTCTCATTTCCCTTGAATTACTTTAAGGTTTACTTTGATCTTCTTCCTATGCATTTAGTGATATAATAATGATAATAATCATCATCATCATCATAATAGCAATGTAAATAGAGCAAGATGAGTTGTCAAAAATACTTGGAAACTCATTTTTCAAGATTATAGTTTCAATCTTTGCTCTTCTGGTTTCTCCTGGCGTTCATTTCATTGATCCATTTTCATCGGTTTCCACTGCCTTTTGGAGACAAACTTGAGATGACATTTTGTGTTGTCGTTGAAGCTGTTCAAGTCGTTGTTACAAACGTGTTTGTTACTGCTTTTTAAGCGGATAACATAACCATCATTTTCATCATCATCATCATCTTCATATTTGTTTTCATTGTCTTTTCTTCCTCCCTCTCTCCTGGTTTAGTCCTCATCACTTTTACTTTTAGACCTATTGACAAGTGCATCTTCCTCTTGCTCCAATTTTAACAACATACATTGTCCCAAGGGTTGTTTTCATGGATTAGACTTGATCAAGCGAGAAAGAGATCCTAAGAGAGGAAAAAGAAAGACAAGTAAGATATTGATAATAATGAAGATGATGATGAAAATGGTTATAAGGATGATGATGATGATGAGAGAAGATGAAAATTGGTTAGGCATAAAATGAGCATTGTATGCTTCATTATAAGGTTAAATTTAAGGTTAATGCAAGAAGCTAGAAAGTGGTTAGTGTTTGTCAGTCAAATATCTAATCTTTTTGTAACTCACTTTTGCACTTCAAATCTACTCCTTTTAATATAGTTTTATTGTCTTATTACTTTTGCTTCCCTTCTGTTGTCACTTTGCTTTATAATACATTTCATGATCATCCTCTGTCGAACATCATTATCATCATGATTCAGTTGATAAAGTTTATCACTTATATAAGCAAGCCACTCTACAAGACCATCAAATTGAACGATACTTACTTTTATAAAACATTGCAAATTTGAACCAATCATTGTTATTGAGGACACATTTTTCCTATCATTTCATCTTCTCCTTTTTTGTTTAATCTTTTCATCATCATCATCAACTTTTCATCAACTTTATCCTTTCCTTATAACGGTTAAAGATGGATCCAAATTGCTGTACCATTATACATTTAATAATTGAAGACAAATGTTTCCACCTTATTTGAAGAGCAGTTGTAGGTAAATGGTTTCCGACCGGTTGATTATGATAACGGTGAGTGTTTGTTAGGTTAGGTTGAGATCACAAACGCTTGGGTGTGTCAATTTATCTCTCTCTTTCTCCTTCCAATGATGATGATAGTAATAATGATGATGGTGATTTTGATGATGATGGGCTAAACATGATAGTTATGGAGGCTGGAAAGATATGAAAAGTAAAGGTAAAAAGTTAATACTCGAGCAAGATTGTACTGATGGTGAGGTTGGTCCAAACTATTCATCAATCTCAATGATCCATAAATAGGGAAGGAGTGAGAAAAGGAGAGAGCAAGAAAAAATTGGAACCATAATTTTCATTCATAAATTGTATCTTTCATCGATTAACAACTGGCTCTTGTTCATCGTTTCAACCCATTCACAACAGAATCATTGGAGGCGTAACCAGAAAAATTAACTTTCAATTCACTTATCAACAAGAGGAGAAATGATTAAGCTTACCTTAGTTTATATTATTTATTTCTTTATCTTCAATTTTTATTATTATTGCTATTCACTTTCATCAGCTTTTCCTCCTCGTTTAATGACTCTTCCTATCATCATAATCATCATCATCATCGTCTTTTAATCATTTTAAAAGATGAAAAAAAAGCTGTTCAAAAAAGGTAACTATTAGTTGATAGTTTGGCAAATGACTGAAAACTATTTGTAAAATATGTTGACTTATTGTTGGTGAAATGGATGATAATTATGGATCAATTTAAAGTAATTGTAATATAATAAAATATAACAATACAATAAACATGCAAATTTATTCCATAAGGTATCATCATCATCTCGATTGAACCATTAAATGTCCAAGTTTACCTGGTTACGATGAGAAGTTAAGTGAATTGACTTTGAATTTAACATTACATCTGGCTTGACTCTTGTTTCACTGGAGTTGGACTTGATGCTTAGTTGATGTCAATTTGATTAAATGATTGGTTAACATGGAATGAAACTGGCCAGTTCAATGTTTACAGGTAAAAACATGACCATGATAACCTTTTTGTTGGTTGACTTTCCCTTGTAAATCTGTGGAGAGAAAGGAGAAGCAACTGTTTAATTTATTTATCAAATTATACGCAGATCTACCAGAAATCATGGATGATGAAGAGGAAAAAGATTTGATTGAAACATCTTTCGCAAACTTTTTGCATCCCTATTCAGTTTTTTGTCCTGGTTTTCCCTTTCATCATCTATGGATGAATAGATAGATAAACAAGCAAGATAAGTTGACAGAAAATTCACTTGTCTCCTTACTTTCCTTCAATCCATTGATGTGGTGCTTATCACTTGAAATTCTTGATATATTTATATGGCCAGAGCTTCTAGAAGATAGATAAATAAATAAATATAAAAAAAGTATGAGATGAATCAAAGCAGGGTAAAATAGGATGAAAAAGATGAAAAGATGAAGTAGGAAAAGGCAACAACTTACTGGGTGAGTTTGATGATGATTTCTATGAGTTCCTATTGAATCAATTTTCTGCTTGGTTAATCTTCTTCCATCTCTTTGATCTCTATCATTATTATCATCACATCTTAATAGAGTCACAAGATTACCTATGATGAAAAGAGGAAAAAGAGAGGATAAATACAAAATCTTATTGAAATAGTTAACACTTGAAATAATTAGTCAATTATCTTGTTGATTAGAAATGTTTAGTCTTAACCTTGGTAAAGAAGCATTGAAAAGTTGAGTTGCAATGAATATTCCAATGTTAACAGAGTAAAAACAATACAGCAGAGAATCACAGTTAATTAAGGACAAATTTTACATTTTACTACGTAAATTAGATTAATTAATTGCACAAAAATTAACATATATAATCATTTAAATTATTGTTTGCTTGCTAACAGTAAAGCCTTTCCATAACAAGAAACATGAAAAAGCTAATAACAGCTGATTACTTGCGCTCCTATCGACGCTTTTCATTGGTGTTAAAATTACAGATTACATTCATTTTTTCATTTTCTGGTCAATTTTATTCATGTTTTGAATAAATCAGGGAATAATCAAGCTTTGATTATCAATTGCTTTCATAACCAACGCATTACATTATATTTAATTATATTATAATACATTAGTTAAGCTTAATCTGGTCACCAATAAATTCACCGAAGATGTGAATCTCTTAAGCCAGAACACGAGATGATCATTAAATCAGCTCAACAATTCAAATGATTAATACCACGTGTTGAATATTTTAGGATTTGATATTTCTATTGAATATTAATTGAATGTAATGACAGCGGATTGTGAATAAATAGCATAATATTCAGGGTTAAAATTTGAATTCCAGGTTAACAGTCAACGGTTAATAAAACAAAATTATGAGATTTAGATAAAAATAGTTAAAAAAAGTCAGTGATTCAATTGTGAAATTAAAATCTATTTCAAATTGCGAGCGCAAATCAATCTGTGGGCAGCACAATCATCAGCTGTTAAGGAATGATTGTGTTTAACATCTTCATGTATAAGACAGATTAACTTGTCTATTAAATGATTAGTAAAACTATTCAAGAGCTATTAACTTTGTCAAATTGTTGATCAATCATCATCATCACCAGTGTCATCTTTAACTATCAAGTGATTCCCTTCAAAATCATTTAAAACTTGTATTCGTCAGAACCATTTGAAGTCAATTCTTACCATAGGTGTTTTATCGTAAGTCGATTTGTTACAAACTGTTTCAATGAATGTGATGAAAATTATGATTAGTGACCAATCCAATTGATGAAATAATAATAATAATTTGATATAATTTAACCTTCCTTTTCTGCCTTTTACACTTTTTAGCTCTCAACTAATGGATGGACCTAGTTAACAACTGTTCTGATTGACTTCAATCATGTTAAATCTTGTAAATGGTTTAAATAATGAGCTTTCAGATAAAGCATATAATTCAGAACTGTTACCTGATTAAAAGTAAAGTCCCTCATAATAATCAAATTACATAAAAAAGAGTATTGGACTAAAGAAAGAAGAGCAAAATGAAGCAGCAAACAATATGTCAAACTATTAAACGCTGGTAACCATTTCTATCCCTGTTGTTGCATCGATGAGAATGCCAAACCATGGTAATACTGATTCGAAGATGATTAAAGGCAATGATGATGATCGTGGTGGCCGCCCTTTACCTTGACTGTTGAACCTATCTGAAGAAGTAAATGATCATTATGATGACAAAAGTGATTATTTCTCGCAGAAGTTTCTTATTGTTGGTTGGTCTAAAAGAAATAGAAAGATACAAATTGTTGATGAAATCCTTGTGATTGATGATTCAAATTGCAATGTAAGTTTCATTTTTTGATCTCCCTCTCTCCTTGTTCAATATTTTTTTTCACCTGAAGTCGAGAAAACACATAAAAGTTAAACTTACCTCCTGCACTTACTCCCCTTTCACCCACTTTGATCCATTTTTTCTCATTCTCATTGTTTCATCGTTTCTTTTTGTTTTTTTTATCAACAGGGAAAATAAAAATTGGTCTCAATCATTGTGGAGTTAAATTGATGGAGAATAAGTCACAAATTTTATGGTTAAACGAACACGAACATCATCAACATCATCATAATCACCATCACCAGGATCAGGATCATCATACTTATAGTTGCCATCATCTATGCGTGTTGCGTTTTTGTTATCAAAACATCTTTCAACAGCTTGTTAAAAGGATAATCAGCAGATTGATAAATTGGTGTGGTTTAGTGATGAAAATGAGTTGATTAAAATGATTTTTTCTCTTCTCATTTTTTCTCCAAAGCAAAATAATTTATTACCACTTTTGGGTGGAAAAGCTCGAAATATTAACAATTTAACATTTCCTTTGATCAACCAATTTGCTGTTGATTAATTAAACTTGATTGCAGCTATACAGCAACTTATTGAGCGATACATAACAATAATTGAATATAAGCTGATAAAAAGAGCTGAAAGGTTAAGATAGTGTTTTTAATAGCTAAATCTTAAATTTGATTAGGATTGATATGATTAAATTAGGAAAGAGGAAAATGAGAAAAATTGATGAAATGAAATGTTAAATCTGTATCAACAGCTTTCAACCAAAAGGGTGGCTTTTAAATTATTTTGTGCCTTATAACCACATCTGAATATTGAGCCAACAATGCATTTACACAGACAATTAACAGTAATTTATCATGAGTAAAGTTGTTGATACGCCAATTAGTTTAATCATCTGATGACAAACTGTTGAAAGACTGGTGTGAAAACAAATGTTAATAATGATCCATTGAACGTTGAAGTACCACATATCATTGGCACGTGTAAACGCGTCTTTCAACACATAAAGGTGTAACCAGGCATTAAGAGGAAAGAGGAAAAGAAAGACTTGGAGGACGGCTGGTTGATGATAAAGATGATGAAGATAAAGAGGGATTAAATATGCTCAACTCTATTCAATTGTGGTTTTGCCTTATGAGTTGATTTTTTGTATTCACTTTCCCTTTGACTTTGCCTTTTCATCTTGTTCTTGCATTAAAATAAGGGAAACCTTTCAAGATGAAAAGTTGTGTTAATATATTAGTGGTAGAGCCTATTCATCTTGATCATCTTTATCATCAGGTAAGGTTTGACCAATCTTCTTAACCACAATCTTTAGTGGCTTTTATGGTCAATGATTATCTAACCAAAATTACCCAATACAAAGGCCATTGATTAAGACCATATTTAGACTCTTTTGGTTAGACAATCATAATTTTTGGTGGACATTAAACTGTTATTAATTTTACTTTTCCAGGGTTTCCTTAAACACACAATCATAAACATAATCAACAGTCTAAACCAAATTAGTCGATACAACTTAGGCTTCTTCAACACCAATTGTGTTACCGTTGATCTTATTGTATTCAATTACATAGTAAATATTAATTTATTTACAACCATTTTCAAATATAATAACAATTGAAATGCAACTGTAAAGACAAAAAACACTTGAAAATACCAATAATCAATGTTAATGTGATTTTGGGTTTGAAGTGTGTGTTCACCGGTATAATGATGAATTGCAATTACCGATGAAACAGCGGATTTAAATTGACAATTTGAAAACTGTTAACTCATTTGCTTGATCTAATGCTTAAACTAATTGATTAATTGTTGACTCCAGAGTCTATTTGACTTGAAAAATGGGAAAAGATTGGGAAACAAGCAAAATGATTTAACTATGAAAGATAATGAACAAAACCTATTTAGATTGAAAAGGAAGGGTTGAAAATTAAATGTGAAAAGGATGGAAAACAATTTTGTGCAAAATAAAATTTTCATTCCCAGTTATCATCATCTATTAAATAATCAACCTGAAAATGTCTCAACAAAACATAATGATAATGATAATTCCTTGAGGACTTTTTCACCATTTAGAGTGATAAAAAATGTTTCAAGTAAGCACTTTTGATTCACTTTTCATTTTCACAAGAAACAAAAGCACAACAGCAAAAAAAAACACAATAACATTACTTCAATTTAAGTTGAAATACTCAGGAATCAGGGAAGACAGACAAAAAAGGGTTGAAATGGCAAGTTGAGCAAAATGCAAAGTTGCCAAATAAGATGAAGATGAAAAAAGGATTTGCCTTTTAATGGAGAAACAGTTTAATTTGTTGTTTCTTTCATTTCACTAGAGGATTCTCATCTTGATCATCTTCATCCATTCAGTTGAATCCTGAACGATTCCAAGTATCTTAACTCCCTGGTTGATGTTGTATTTGCCTTTGTTTTTCCCTGCTTTACCTTTGTACCTCTTTTTTTTTGCTGCCTAATAATTCAATGGATTTAACCTTAGATAAAATTGTATAAGACATTTGATTGGTTGATGTTTAAGATAATCGACTCTTAATTTAAAGGTAAATCTACTTGGAGTTGAATTGATTTGCTGAAAATTACCTCTTGAGACTCTGACAACGATCCAGTTTAACTTGACAATTTTGAGCTGAGCAGCAAAAAAAACAGTTTAGTTTCAAGTAACTAGAGTTGCATTTGTTATTGCTGGAGTGAAAAAAAACGTAAACACACATTAAAAGTAATTTCACTTTTCATTTATTTTTCACCCATTTTCTTCTTCTTTTTTCCTCTCTTCATCCATTTTCCGCCATCTTTGACTTTGTTTCCATGTTTCAAATGTTTATTTCAATCATTCCAATCTTATTATTTACTCTTGCACTGATTTGCTGTTGATTAAAAACAATAAAAGTCAATTTAAAATGGTTTAGATGCGAGACTGCTTCTCCTTCCACTTTTATGTCAAAGCTTAGCAAGTCTATTATATTTCATTCTGGCTTCTTGATTTTTTACCATCACTGCCTGCTGTCAACTAATTGTCACATAATTAAATTCACTGCAAAGGAATAACTGAGTGTTGAGCCTCTTGTGAATGAAAATTAAGGAATCACTTCAATGAGACCATTTTATCGTTGAGTTTTCAATCATTTTCAGATGATCAATACAATCCTTAATCTTTGTAAAACCAGTTAATTTATTTCCAGCGATAAGTTTTGGTTAATTTAATGAATAGCCAATAGATTGGTGTATTGTACAAGTGTTAAATGGTCAGCTTCATATTTGAATGTTTCCTATTCCAGGATAACCAGAAGTGACCTATCTTGATATCAGGCCTGAGTCTGCTCGGACTTTTTTCCACTTGATTCCCTATTGGCTGTCATCAAATAAATGAAACAAAATAACAATCTAAGTTGATGATAACCATAATAACGGTATTTGCGCATTTGGCCTTTACTATGATTTCACCATCGACATGTTTCATTGAATGATTTCCAGTTTATCCCCGAGATTGTCCTGAAATTAGAAAGGGAGAAAGTATTAAAAATGATGATAAATGGAAGGAATGAAAAACTATTTTCATATCGATCTATCTAGCATAATCAACTATAATTCAATATTAATGAATTTAAGAGTGTCAATAAAACTTCAACTCACCAAGAAACTCAGAGTAAATTCCATTGGATAAAAATTTAAAAGTCTTGTGAAGCCACGCCAGTGTTACCAATCCTAGGACCTTACCGTTGAACGACTTTCAGTCTCTTCTAAAAATGAATAGATAAATGAAATGTTGAACATTCAGCAACAACAATTAAAATACTTTTAATCAATGAAAAGAGCTAATCATTGATTTCAATCAACATTTCCCTCAACACTCTTTGGTTCAACCTTTCTTGTTGTCAAGTTACTATCGTATTAATGGATTTGATAATGAACAATTTGAATGGGAAAACAATAAATCAATGGAATCTAATGAATTAATCTTAATTAAAGATGATACTCGGACTGAAGTTAACAGTATATTGATGATGATAATTGTTAGCATATTAACTGCTGTAGTTATTGTCTTCCCTTTTCACTGTAATACCCATTGAGAGGATGTTACAATAGTAAAGGGTTTTGTAGTTTTAATGACTTTCAAAGTGATAATTAAACTAAAAATAAATGGATTGTTTATGTTAGTATAATTACAATTTGAGCTGTAAATGGAAGAGAAGTGCAAATTAATTAGAAATGTGATTCCCAATCATTTGATAGCAACTTTAATTATATAATAAAAGCAAAGAAGCTGCAAGCATCTTGAATCTGTTGTCTATTGAAAAGAGCACTTTTCATGTTTCAAATTATATTCTCATTTAATCTTTAATTTCTCCCTTTATCTTCCTCATCTTTTCATCTTCACCCTCTCAATGGGTCATTATGCCTGTTCCTACCAACAAAAAAAATACCATCCAAGTCAATATTCATTTACCTTTGGGAATCACCTTTTTATTTGCAAGAATCATCCTTAAATAACTTTGTAATGGGATAATTATCATTCCCTGTTAATGGGCCCAATGAACGGAATAACGATAATTATTTGCTCTCCAATGGACTGGAAACCATTTCGAGTTGTGAGATCTCATGGGTTCAGATGGAAATGGGTCAAAAAAATGGAAATCTTCAAGGAATCAAAGATGAACCTGGAAAGATCATCTGGATTTAATGGTGATGATCAAGAGACGTGTGGCTGGTTCAGCAAAAGTCATTTACAGATGATTCAGTTTTGATGGTTTCATCTTCAACTTTCAACAAATTGTTATCAGAAGTGAAATTAGTAAATTGAATTGAACAAAAGGCTAAGAATAGCCATTCTTGAGGATTGCGACTCATTTGAAATGTTGGTCTTTGCAGGTTAGGTTTTGTTTCACAATTTTGACTCTTTGACCATAATCACAATGAACAATGAGTTTTGCATCTGAAATCATATTTACATTGAATGTGTAATATTATACTTTTCCGTATTGCTTTCTTATGTGTGTCAAGCTAATGTAAAAATATTGTCATTATATTATATTGGATTGTGAAATGTTGTGTCTACAGTTAGTATCGGTAAGTAATGTTAGTAAATGTAAGTCAATTAAATTGGGAAATATTAAATATTATCAAATGTAATAGATTTCCTACTGTGAGTTTAGGTTTACACTTAAAAATGATGTTCACAATACAATAGTGAATGACCGTTGACCTGGACCTTTTCATTAGATAATTTACTTGCCATTAAGCCAGTTTCAATTTACTTACCTCATCATCATCATCAGTTTCAGCTTTACATCAACGTTTTATCCTCTTCCCTCTCTCTCTCCTTCGCCATCTTCATTCATCTTTTATCCTCTTCCTTCATTGTAAACCTTTAAGCTTATTTAACTTCACATGGTAACAACAATTGAAGCAAATTTTTATTTTTACCTCCTATAATCGGATACTCTATATATAAAGTAAATTAATCCATAATTTGATCAATTGTTACCGATGATCATCATTGATCAATCCCTTGCATAACTCTTTCCTTGCTTCAAATGGCTTGGCTTTTCATTTAAAGATTTAGTTTAAAGGTTTCCTTAAATCAAAAGAGAAGAGATTTCAATTTATTTTCTCAATCATTTTGGCAAATTTTCATATTAAACTGTCCATTTGATCAATTGGTCAGTGTCCTTGTGGTTATGAGAAATTGTTAGCTGAAAAATAAAAAGCAAAATGGTTCTCGTGCTTTTGTCACGATACTGAGAAATCACGCGATCGAGTAACGGCACTTTATTTAGCTTACTTAGCTGCTCCATTTTCCCGTTTCCTCCATAAGTTGATGGAAAATCTTTTGACTGGAAGACGCTCTTATTGATCGCTGCATAACTAAGAGCTGTGTGATCTTAAACACATGGATAGTACTTCAATTGTGCCAAGTGACATTGGTGCATTGAGGTAAAGAGTTGAATATTGCAGGGAATGTTTGTAATTGATTATCGATGAAACCAGAATTTATGCAATTACATCGCTGGAATCGGTAGCTTTACTCGATAATCAAAGTCACATGCTGTACAGTGGGAGAAAATTTCATCGTTCAAAATAAGTGAATTTGGTTATTAGTTTTAATAGTTTTTGTTAGTTGTAACAAAATCAATTTGAAGAAAAAATCAGTTGATAACTGTACAAAAAACAAAGTTTGAACTTTCATCAGACCGCAAACAGTTGATGAAATCACAATTAACTGCAAAGAATCAGTAAGAATTGAGGAGTAGATTATGATTAGTTTAGATGGGCGAATAAAAGAGCAAATGAAACCACATGCAAAGAATGCGCTATTTTTTCGACTGGAATGGTCGTTGGACAAGAATTCTGTTGATTGATGCAAGTATGAGATTTCCAAGTCAACGGGTTCAACTATTTAATCTGTATTTTCAGTGACGTTAACTTGAGACGTTAACTTGATAATTATTTTTAACAAGTGGTTTATATTTTTATAAAAAGGTTTCATTGAAATAATTAGTCTTTATAATTTATAAAAGGTACATTTTGAATCATTATTATTAAAGTACTTGCCGTATCGACGAACATTAATGCACAGTGCTTCTAAGTGAAACGAAGGCATTCATCCACCATCAGGAAATCAATCGATAATTTTCGATTTCTGAACTTAATTCCTAGAAAGTTCAACTTATTTTTTGTCGCTGTGACCCAATCATGTACCTCATCATGTTACCGTTATGCCACGAAACTTTTTTTGAGATCGAAAAGATCTTTAATGAAAAAACCATTGTCAGAGCAAGAAATGCAAAAGTTGAAATCTTTAGCTTTTGTTAAATTAGTGATATGCATTTTGGGATGAAAAAAGCCTTTCATTAAGCACAAGTAAAAATTTTCCATTTGAGCTGAGAGTTAAACCTTGGTTGTAGCGGCATAAAATTGGTTCCGTTTGTTGAGTTAAAAAGTTTCTTTGATGGACAGTCATTCACAAAATTGTAAAGTTGAAACTTTGATCTCTTTATGTACATTTTTTACCAGATTGTTCACCAAGCTCTTTACTCTTTACCCAAAGACACTGTTACATATACTCCTAATCCAACAATAAACCCTTAAATCGAACCAAAAAAAGTTTTCTCCAAAATTCAATAGTTTCTGCACACGGACTCTGCATTTCCACCCAGTCTGTTAAACATGATTTTCTCAGAAACCTGAATGCAGGGAAATGTTTTGCTATTTTATATTGTTTACATTAAATACTTTTGCATGGCAAAAATTGCTTTAGAACCCTTTTGGTTTGTCAAAATTGTTCAAAATTCAAAATCAAAATTTGAAACATTCTCTTTATATTGTATGTACAGATGTACAGATAGCTTGAACCATTTCAGTTCATTATGGAATGCATTAACTTTGTTTCTCCTGTTTTGCTTGATTAGCTTGCATAAATCTTTGCTTTTGACTTGCTATCAACGTTAATTTGTTTGGTTAAAGGAGAAAGGAAAGGATGGGAAAGAAATTAAAACAGCTTTGAAATAATAGTCGAAGCTAATTGAAGAGTTGAAAGACAAAGTAAAAAGCTAATTTGATCAAGAAATTAAAAGACTAAAGTACTAACATTGGTTAAATGTAAATATCCTGGGAGTTGGCCATTTGTGAACTGTTCAAATTCATTGATGAAGATGACTTACAAGGAAAGTTAAGATGAAGAGAAAGGTAAATGAAATGATGAAATTATGGTTAATTGGTTAAAGTTTTACAAAATTAAATATTCGTTAAATTGACGATAACTTAAGTTGGTGATCAAAGAAAGACTCAGAAATACATTGGATAATTTCACGGATGGATTATCATTTTCAATTGAAACAACTTCATGTTTAACATCATATCCTGATTATTACACAAATATTAATGCAAAAATGAAAGAGTTACACAAATAAATATGAAAGGGAATCAAACAGCAATTACGATTCCTAAATCAACAGAATGGGAATCTTAAATTTTGATAAAAAGCTAAATGCAATCATCTCGAATGATGAGTTTAAATAGTTGAAATATTTGAACTAAATTAAAGTTATAAAATGACTTGTACAGTAACCTAATAGAGATTATTTCATAAATTACAGTTAAATGCGGCTGCATTAAAATTAAAAAGTAAAATTAGCGTTGATTCAGTCAAATTGAGTTTTACATTAACCTAAAACCCAATCTTTGCAGACACAGTTTAAACTATTCAGTGCTGACAGTCAGTAATACAGTCTCAGCGTGAACACATCTACAGGCACAATTTTAATTAATGGTAATACAATCAAAAATACAATCAAATCTCTAGATCATGATATTAATCAGTAAAAATTTCAAAACATTGAGCCAAAGTCACACAAATCAAGCATTAAGTGAACTAGTAGGGCATCTAGTGGATCTAAAATAAACCACTTCTGCTAAATTCATAATGAATGAAGCGCCAAGAGGAGCCTGAGTTCAACTGTAGTCTAAACAGTTTTAGTTTTATAATGGTTTATTACAGTCAGAAACTCATGATTAAAATTTGATTTTAACAAGATTAATAGTCATTCACAGTAATCAAGGACTAAAATCATCTCCAATTTGTTATAAGAATTAAATTGTATTTCAAAAAGGCTGGCAAACTGTTTGATTTCATTTTCAAAGTATAGAGGGAACCAGCTTATATTTCGGTAGATTTTGCCTTTTCATTAAAACCCAACAATTTGAATCAAGATTTATTTATTCGTTCAATTAATGATTATATCGAAATAAATCTACTTACACATGTAATTTGTTTACCGTGCTTTTTATTAATGTGCAAGCTATGATTGATTTATCATGTGCTTAATTAAATCATCGAGCTCAGTTTATGCGATATTTTTAAATAACATCAACCTGTGTGTTCGACGCCTTACAATTGAAGCCTTGCTTACAGCCATATGAACAGGTTAATTGTCATTTCTGTGTAAATGAAAACAAATGATAGATGAATACTTGATCATTAAGAAGTCAAAGAGAAAGTTGAATATAATCAAGTTATTTGTTAAATTTAAACAGTTCACACGTTAAAAATGTTTTCACAAGTTAATGTGAGAAAAACGATGAATTATTATTCTCACATGATGCCAATTAATCCATTAAATCAAATATTTAAATAATCATACCTTAAAGTCATCTGTGTATCACTGTAGATGATGAAAGATGCTTAATTTAACAACAAAAAACTACGATTAAACAGCTAACCTTATAAAGCCTGATTAATGCTTAACACATTCAACTAATAAAGTTGATATTCAAAGTTAATTTGCTAGTATTTACCAAATATTAATGATTAGTTTGTCTTTTATTTGGACCATAAATTTTTTACACACAAAATTAGCAAAAAATAATGCGAAAAACAAAACTGAAAAAACAAAAAGGCAAGAAAAATCTCAAAAAAGCAAGCTAACCTGGTTACTTAAATATTTGCATCTTCAGGTCATTGGAGCCATCTAACACATAATTGTAATTTACTGATCACAACAATTTGGCCTCAATATAATTTGTTGAAAAAGATAACTTAAATCCAGTTATAATAGGTGAATAATAATGAATGATGAAGAGTCAATCTTTCTCATGTTTACTAAACAATGCACCAGAAAACCGGCAACTCGTCTTATCAACTTGGGTTGTCTTCAAGGGCTATCATTGACCATAAATTGTTGTCCATTATCCTGTTTTAATACAAAAAAAGCATTATTAATGTGATGGTAAACAATCAAACTATTCATAAGCTAATATCTTTCAATCCTTAACAGCTATTAACTATCAGCTATTAGCTGCAATCAGAAAAGGTTTCAAAAATCGTATCGACAAAAAATGGTTTCAAGTTATTTTGATTGCCTTCATTGATAGCTATTCCTGATCATTAAATTATGGGCATTGAAACATTATTAACGTTTATATAATCAGATAAACTTGTTGGTCAAAGATGTAACAATTGAGATATTCAAGGTTGATTTGGGTGAAATATATCAGACGATTAAAACTGTTATAAAGAAATAGGTTTTTCTCAATGAAATAGACAACATTGATAGCTATTTCTGGTTACTTTAAACCCAAATTTAAACTTGGAGTAATTAAATTTGTTGATTGTAATAAAATGAAAGTTGATAGGAATCAAGTTTAAGATTGAAAATTGGCTTTAAATGTTGTACCAAAACAATCAAAGTGCAAGTGAGATTATAAATCTTTTGATGATAATTCAAATGGTTAACAGATGATTGAATTATTTACAGTTTGAAGCAGCTAGAGTTTTGTCCCATTTATAAGTTGCATGTCATGTTGATAGTTTACAGTGAATTAAATGGCCAAATAAACTTGAATGAACCGTGAAATTAAATTGTATTGTGTGTTGATTGTTTGCTGATAGTTGTTGGCCAAGAGGAACCTTTAAATAGATTAAGAGACTTTCATAATTTGATTGACTTTCATTTTAAAAACAAAATAATTTTCATCTGTTTTTGGTTTCTCCCCATAAAACATCATCACTATCACCATCATCATCGACCAAGTCACAAGTCAATCAAATCAGTATTAAGATGACGATGTGAATCACGATGATTCAGGTTACAAAATTAACATAATAACTATTACATAGTGATGAACGGATTAGTAGATTGTAGAGAAATAAAATTAACCATTTTATAAAAAGGCAAAAGGTAGTCAACAGCAATTTGGTAACAATTAAGAGCTCAGAACAATTTAACCTTTAAATTTATATAAATATATACTCTTATTTTAAGCATCTCGTCAATCAAGTTATCAATGAGAGCGAAAATTAACTTTTCAAGATGATGTTCATCAACATCATTCTCGTGATGAATAGGTAAACAGCATATCACTTACTATAAATGAGGTTGAAAATGAAAGATTTATGAAGAAAACGATTAACTGATTATAAATAACAATTAAAACCAATTGCGTGGAGCACTTTTGCTTAAATAAAATGGTTATTGATCATTTATCCAAACCCAGTAGCCGTTCAAATCCTTTTTAGTCCACATCTTTATTATGGTCAATCAATGCACAATAAATTAAAATGTTTAACTGCTTATTGAGATCAATAATGACTGTAGCATCTCTACATTGGACGGCGGATAAAAATGGACAAACTGCCCAATCTTTACTGGTCATTTTCCTGGTCTTTGTCCTTGTATTGCTTTGATCCTGAATTGAAAGAAGAAATTTTCGTTGAAATTTATATAACATTGATTTTGAACAACTTACCCTTTGTCTAGCTTACAATTAAACCAGTGAAACTCATTGTTGCCGATTATCATGATAACTGCTTCCACCATGACTTATTATCAACATTGTTGACCTAAATTAGAGAAGAAAAATGAAACAATTTGATAACGTAGTTTAATTTTTTTGTACTTTGATCAACAGAAGCAAAGAGTAAATATCAATTGATGAAGGGTAGCAAAAAAATTGATCATTTCCCATCAATCGCTCGTGGAAGTTGATGGATGATCAAATGAATGTCTCTTTTCAGTTGATCATCTCAGATTATCAAGGTTATGTCACTTCTGATTGATTATCATTAGGCGTGAGCTCAGACTAAACGTAACACTAAACTTAACCTGGACAAGTTAACAATTAAAGCTATCTTGATTCTTAACCGTTAAAGTTGAAATCTCTCTGTGTTTGGTTGGTTGATGAAATCCTTTTGTTCGCTCTCAATATTATAACAAAAATTATCCAACTTACTAAATTCAATATCAAAATATCATCATGAGGATGGAAATAACCGCCAAAAACGTTAGGCAATCGGTACTCAGCAGGAAACTTAATCAATCACTGGTAGCTCCAACTAATAGATCGATGATAATGGCCAAATACTTTGCTGCTATTAAGTTGTGAACTTTAAAAGGTATATCAAGAAAAATCGCTGATCAAAGAAAAATTAATCAATTGATTCTTCATTACTTGAGTTATGCTCGACCAGATATTTCAATCTGTGTGAATCCTCAACTATAATATTAATTGACTAATATATTATTAATACTTGCTGTTTTGAAAAATCTATTGACAAATTGGTCTCCAATAATGTATAAATATCAGCTGGTTGGAAATTTACTTTCATTCACGATGATTATGATAATTATTGCCAGGAGTTAATAGGAAGCTTGATAATCAGCTACAATTCCTAAATTCAAGTTTTTCTAAACTAATTTACATTCCCTTGAGTCATCATGATATTCAACTCAGAATAGTTTCTTTGTTTGCCATTTCTTCTTGATTACCCTTTTTCCACCTTTCTCCTTTTTCGCTTTGGATCCTTTGCTTGCATTTCTCTTGAATCTTTTACTTTTCTTTACTTGTTCAATTTCAGAGTCATCATTATCATCACCATCATCTTTAGGAGATGATTGCTTCCTGAAATGAAAACTCACATCATGAATATAGTTGTCCAAGAAAGAGAGAGAAAGAGAAGAAGAGTAAACAAGTTTTATAGTTTAAATTAGTGTGACCTTAACAGTTATTAATAATAATGAAAAGACAGGAAGATATAACAAGGTATAACCTTTTTTACCTTTTTGTTTTCCTTTAAAGATTAACCAAACCTGAGCAGAAAATGGAAACGTGCCTATTTACCCCCAAAAGCTTTAACACGTCCATGATTAAATCTGTAACATTAGTTGTAAGTTAATGGGAAGAAGAAGAAAATTGTAGATATTTATTCTGCTGATTCTGTAAAGCACTGTTGACACTCCAAATGAACAGGTAGAAAATATTGTAAGTTTCAAAAATGGATTTAATTTACTCTTCATGGTGCACAACAAAAAAACCAGAATAATGAGATGGCTCAACTCTCACCCTGAGCCAATACTTTGATTACACAAGAAAACAATTGAAAAAAATTGCACAAATTTTTAGGTTTGACAATAAAAAACGGCTAACAACCAAACACTTTAACCTCTGGTTAACCATTGTTTGATAAAAATGAAAGTTAATGTGAAATTATGGACTGATCTGGTTAAAAGATAAAGATGTTAACTCACAGTTGAAAAATTACAAAACAGTTCCATTATTTGCTTCACCAAAAAAAATGTCTGTCTAGACAAAAAAGGATTTAACCGATTCTTTTTATCCAGTCTATGGCTTCTTTTATTAAGTAACGCTTACAGAATAAAATAAGTCATCTATTTAAACAGTGTCTTCTCCTTTCTCACGCTTACTTTTTTAAAAACTGCGTTTCAGTTTGATCCATTTTTAGATTAGAGTTGATATTTGATAAAGCTTAGCTTAACCCGACCTTAATAAATATCTTGACTTGTGAATTGTTCATTTTAAAGTGTTTTCAACATTTCATTTCGGACTAAAACTCAACTCTTATTAAAAGTGAATAAAAGACTAGAGAAAACTCTTGAATAATTTCAATATTTGACTTTTCACGAGATATCTAGAATCTACTTTAATGGATTATTTGTGTATCAATTTCCGAATATTTAACAGTCTTGTTGTATCACCCAGACTTTTGATCTAAAATATACTTTTCTAAATTTCATGACTGAAAAATTTGAAGTAAATCACATTCCTTTTTGGTGATTGGTGTCAAATTTACCATCAATTTACAATAAGTTGACGTTAATTCAATCAATCAAATGGATATTGAATCTCCAAATAAGTAAGTTACTCGTTATATTTTTTATGAATGTATCAAAACGATTTTTTTTCAATATTTTCTTTTTTAATTTTGGCCTTTTGTTACTTAATTATTATTAATTATAATATCATTTTATAAATTTTTGTGTTTGTTTTCTCCTTTAATCTCCGTTTTTTTAAAAAACTGGACCATCAAGAAGAAACAATCGAGAAAAAAGGACAAGTCAAAGAAGGAAAACATGAGATATGAAGAGAAGGGAAAGAGGATAAAAAAAGAGGTAAAGAATGAGAAAATGAAAATAATTCTGACTGGCACCTTTCAAGCCAACAATTTGTCTTGATCTTGTTGATCATGAACAACATCCAAAAGATATGTATTTATTTGGTCATTATTTGAAATTTGTTTGAAATTGAAGGGGACGTTGATGCTTGATGTTACCGGTGGGTTATCGTTTTATTTTTTAATTTTTAAGCCATAATTCCTTGTTTAATTTTTTGCTTGTTCTTTAATATTTCCTCTTTGCTCTTGATTTTTTCTTCATAGTTGATGATGGTAGTAGTGGTGGTGGTGATGATGATGATGGGCCAAATAGCGAAACCAAGTTGTAAACCAATCATTTAAAAAAATATAGCGATAACAAAATTGACTTGGGACAATCACTTGATTGAGACAAGACAAAGACATATTGAGTAACCTAGAAAAGAGTTGATCGGCTTATTGTATCGTGACGGAGATTTTGATTATTGCAGTTAAGGTGGTTCTTAATCCTAACGGGTTTGTTGGGGGTCATTTTGGTGGTTGGTCTTGTTGGAATTGGATCCTACTTTGATGGATCCATAGTTTTTCTTTCTTTATTCAATCAGATATATTATTTATAAGTATACATTTATATTTATATATTATTAGTTAATGTTGATAATATTTTTGTTGTATTTTTAATTTTGTAGCTTTCGTGGTCATTTGCTGGGCTGCTCATAGTGGTCGTAATCTTTGCCTTGATGTCACATCGTGAAACAAATGTAGGAATTGGTTGTGCTTGATAAATTAATATTATTTGTATATACGATTCGCTTTTTTTTCCTTCCAGGATTAATACCTTAATTTGTTATTAATTTTCCTAGGTGGGTTGTTTTGTTTTGTTTTATAAATTTGATTTAAGATTTGTTCGCATTGTGAAAGATGACCTATTTTCGCATTTTTTCAAATTATTTGTGATTTTATGAAAAAAAAGTGATCTTGCTAAACTGTTTTGGCGGTGGTTTAAGTTTGAAATATTTTACTGGCAAGTATACTTTTTACATTTTCCATATTCAGGTGAAAGAGCACCACTTTTAAGGGCACCAACCTTATTATTCATCCATGTTGGAGCAACTTTCTCCATTACGCTATAAAGAAGACGAAAGAGAAAATCAAGAAAAGGATAAGGTTAAAACGTATTGAGCTATTCATTAATGGTCTGAGGAAGGAGTCTCTGAACTACACCAATTAAAGATAACTGGTTTTTAACTGGAAATGTCTTGAACCACTATCTTTTGTATCAATTTGGTTGATATTTCTTCATTTCATTCTGGTGGTATCATGATTGGAAAAGTTAATCAAAAAGAAGAAGATACTTACTTAAATAAGGTTGACTTTCCTCGGACAGTGCTCATGGCGTCACCAAGCTCACAAAGAATTCGGTTCATACATTCTTCACGCTCAACAGCTGTCTTATAAAGAGTATAGTATCGGTCAAGGCGTTCGAAGTAAGATCCAAGACCGGTATCTTTAGCTGGTGTATCAATGGATCGTCGTTTACGACCAGTGGCAGCTGTGGACAGAGATGTTACAGTTGGAATGAGGAGTGATAATCCAGCGAGAGCGAGGATTGGTAAGATGGCTGAACCGATTCCATATCGTCGGTAGCCTGATGCAGGTGGCTCGTAAGCAGCGTGTTGGTTGCTAGCTGCTGGGTAAGCATCATAACCTCCGTGTGATTGGTAACCGTAACCGGGTTGTGAACCGTATGGGATGGAACCTGGTTGTCCACCATATCCGCCTGGGGCACCTGAAGCAGCGGGTCCAGTAAAACCTGGAACTGGTCCTGACTGTGAGTAAGGGCCTGAGGCATCACTTCCAGTACCGGGGAAGGATGAAGCGCTGGGTCCAGAAGAAGAGCTAGTAGAGTAACCTGAACCACTACCATCGCTATTCAAGGTGTAGCTGTTTCCTATTTAGTTGGAAAGAAGAGCAGACACGGAAGATCAGGTTGATGATTCTCATTAATTAAACAGTTCATTTTAATCATCATCTTAATCATACTCTGAGGTTATTTCTTGCCTTATCTTGATTCTTTTCAAAATGACTTCTTTTTAATGAAACAGGCTTTTTAATGTTAGCCTTTAATGTTTAACTATTCAAGTTCATCTTAAATCAGGTAATGATCAGGCAACATTCCAAAGCAATCAAAGCATCATTAGCATGCCTCTCTTCTTATCAAATGGCATCAATTAAAGTGCTCACATTTATATTTTCAAACAAAAGTATCAACTCTAGTCACATTAACGGTACAATCAATATAAAATTGATGAATGAATTGTCAAAAAAGACAGAAAGAAGACTCGGTCATTGAACAAATTTGGTGATGGTTTCTCTGCTAATCCATTCATCCATAACTAACTATACCTGTCTGAACTTTTTTTCATTGCTCTTCAATTGTGTGCTTGTGTGATTACCAAATTAAAGCGTAAAATTGTCTCACATGCTACCTTGAAAACTGAATCAAGTTGAATCCTCTTCCTCAATTCATCATGGTATGTTAAAGTTAATTCATTGATCAGGAAAAAAAGCTAATAATTTCTCTTCTCTTTTTCATAATAATAGTCTTAATAATGATCATCATCAACAGCACCATCGTTGACAACCAATGGAGCGGAAAGCATATTCAAAATTAAGCTAAAAAGGTTAACCTCACAGTGAAACCACTATTTGTTTAAACTAAATCAACTGCACCAACTACGAATGTACTAATTTTTACCTGTATGGTAAGATGAACCAGATGGAGAGTATCCTGGACTGCCTGGTGCAAAAGCTGAATTGCCTGGTGAACTTGATCCAAAACCATATTGTTGAAGTTGACTGGCAATGTTACTCAATTGATCATAGTTAGATGAACCTGCTTGGTTTGAATAATCACCAGCACTACCAGTTTGACCCAAGTTTCCAGCCTGTCCAAGATTTTGTGCTGAATAACTGAGATCTTGAGCTGAGTAGCTTAAATCTTGGCCACTTGTCGGTGTCTCCAGGGCAGATGTATGAGGAGAACCGGACTCACTAGAACCCGAATTACCGTTACCTGGTGTCACTGAGCTTGTAAACTGGTTAGATGAACTGGCCTGGTATCCATGTTCCTTCCCCTTGTCTTGAACTGGATAATAATAGTAATACATGTTTTGTGGGGATGAACCTGAGGTACCTGATTGATAGTTTTGACCTGAACTGGTGTTTGGATGCTCAGCTGAAGTCCAGGGAAAAAAGTAAAGAAAGAAAAAAATGAAAGAGAAGAAAAAAGATGAATTGAGATGAAGCAATATATATAATAAAATGAGAAAGGGCTAGCCTAAATTATGATTGATATTAAGGTCAGTTAAATCTCAACTTTTGAAAACCATAAAAAAAAAGTAAACTAATAGTGATAATAAAAAAAAGAGCACTTATCATTGAAGTTTACGATTCATCATTTTTGCAAAAAGTAATAAATTTTTTTCTCTCTTTTACTCAGGTTAAACTATTGATCAAGAAATACGACAACACTTACCAGAAGGACTTGCACCTCCAAATTCATCGCGTTTTACTGCGGCAGGGGCAACAGTGGCCAACATGGAAATAACCAAAAGTATCCGGATTGTCGTCATTATGAGAGTATTATTTGATAAATTACGATGTTTGACAAACAACAAAAAAAAGAGAGAGGACGAAGTGATGTTTTGTGTTGCAAAAGTAAAGCACTACACTTTGAATAAGCACAAGGAGACGGAGCAAAATAAAGTGGCCGAACTAAACGCAGTTGGTATCTACGTTTTTGAAAGTGGAAATGGTTTTTGTGAAAATTAATGTGTTCCTCACTATCTTCACTTGTGTTTAATTTTGATGTGCGGCAAGAGGAAGAAGAAAACTCAAGAAATCAGATCTCACCGGAGTTGAACAAGAATTCACTGAATCCGGTTGTTTACGATTAAATACCAAAAGCAAGGCAAAGGGCGTTTCTTACCTTTTCATCTCTCACTCTCTTTCTCTCTCTTTCTCTCATCTTCATTATCTTCATTATCATCTCTCCTTTTTGCTAAATATATATATATATGAGTGTGTAATACACATTCACATCTTGTTTCTCTTTCTCCTCTTTCTTTTCTCATCCTAACCTCTCTTGTCGATTCACGGATGTTACTGAGGAGGAGAGAGATGTACAAGGAACCAAAAAATACCCTTTCCAGGCCACTTTGCCTTGTCTCTCCCTTTTAACACATCCACACATCTCTTTCTTTCTTTTTGCTCTCCTTCATCATCGCCATCATCGCCATCATCAGCATCATCTTCATCAGCATCTAACTTATTTCTCTTATTTATCTTCTTCCTTTTCATTCTTTTCTTCATGTCTATGTAACATTTCGCTTTGACGCCTTTAATAACTGCTACATACTTATTATTATGATTATTATTACAGTTATCATTATTATTACTATTACACTTACATAACATTAGTATTATTATATTTTATTATCTTTTGATTACAGAAAATTCAATTCTTCTCAAATTCATTGGAAGAAAAAACAAGGCCAGTTTTCTTTGAATACAAAGGAAAATAAAGGGATAATAGGGAAATAGGGCTAATATTGATTTCAAAATTGATGAATCAACCAAATGCACTTTTTTAATCAAAAAGAAAATTCCTTCAATGTAAATCTGTGTTCCAATTTACAGCCATTTGGTACTGTAAATTGCAATAATAGTGTTGAGTGTCATCATTTGCCGCATTTCATTTAAAACACATTTACGGTATAATCATTTTCCATCAACAGACTCACGTTATATGTAATTATGTTTATCAAATATGATCAAATCAATGCTCATTTTAATTTTTGTTTATTTTCATCCAGCTTTTCATCGAGCATTGGATTCTGGTCAATCTGTGGTGAAAGACAGTTCATTTGGATCAATAGGAATCAATTTGGAGTTGATAATCTTGGTTAAATTAAGAGATTCTTGCAGATGACAATTGTTTGTGATCATCAGATGAAGATTGTTTATATTGATACTTTGGATGGCTGCTGCATAACATGTGATTTTAAAACGCATTTTGAGACACAAGATCTAATTTAATATCAAGTCTGATTACGCTACTGGCTAGTATACCGTTTAATGGTCATTCTGTCTCGATGGAACTTTTCAATGAACTAATTTTCAACTTTGATACCTTTTTTTTCTGCGTCACTAAACCATCATTTTGATGCCAATTTTGCTCTAAAAACACAACATATCTGATTAATAGTATACAAATAATTTTAGTTTGCTGTCATTTTCGGTGTCAACCATAATTAGTTTTTTTAAGGTAAGCTTACCTGTCTCTTCCCCCACACATTTAACTTGAATTAATCTTACTCTCCTTCAACCTGCAATCCAAATGAAATTTATTTATGCTGCCCGACTCTTTATCTGTGTCAAAATTTTGCTCTTTCCTCAGTCAACAAGGAATTACTGGCTCATAGCAAGTGGTCGGTATAATGCGGATGATCATAATCTTAAATATAATTAGCAATTTAAAACTGCGTATATGGTCAGTTGGGAAAGATTGGCTAGTTGGTCAAAAATCAAATAATGGTTGCAGACAGTGGTATGCAATAAATTGCACTGCTGGCTGAATAATCGAAAGTACCTTCAGGTAATTACATTTTCAATTGATTTAATTTTGTTATTCTTGTTTTTTTATACATTTTAAAACTGAAAAATGATATGATAATGAGAGTGGATGATGGGAAAAACAATATTAATACGGAAAAGTGATGAAGAAAGCAAAGTGAGGTTGAAAAATTCAAGATGAAGATGAAAAGACACAAGCTATCATTTCTTTATCATTTCCTCCCCTTTCTCTCTCTCTCTCTTTCTCTCTTACATCTTGAACTTGATTTCTGAATCTGGTGAAGATAAATATCAAGGTAAAAAAATAAAAGTCATCAAGTAAGAATAATCGGAAGTTAACCAAATAAGTTAATTGGTAGGAAGAAAGGGATGAAAATTTAAAGCAAAACAAAAAGATAAGCAATGAATGTTTGCAAGTGAGGTTTTACAATTAACCACTTGATTCATGGTTTGTCAAATTGAGATGATAATCAGGCTCTCACAAAAAATGATGATACAAACCAGATTGAGAGAAAAAGGTAAGAAATGTTGAAGCAACATTGGCAATTCATTTATCCCTCTATCAATAATAATAATAATAATAACTGACTGGTTTTCTTCCGAATACAGTTACCAACAAGATTTGGACTGATCCATGATATGATGTGATCAAGATGATTAACCAGGAGAGGATGGAACCAGCAAAAGAAGAAGAAGAAGAAGATAATAAACACTAAAGAAGTTCCACTCTGAAGATGAAACATTCAAGTTCAAAAGACAACCAATCCCCTTGAAGCCCCCTGGTATCATCATGACACTTGTAGCGGATATACGGCATCATCTTCATCATTTTCATCATCATCTTCTACAGCCTTGACCGAGACCCTTAAAATGGGATAAAATTTTATTAACTGTGGCCCGTTAGGTGAGGTTAAAAGTTAAGCCAACATTCAACTTGACTCTTCTACCTTCCTGGCCTGTTTTTGTTCCCTTAGGCTTGTCCGAGTAATAAGAAAGAGATAGGATGATGAAGATGATGATGAACCAAAGAAGAAAAGAAGAAGAAAAGGAACACAAAGTGAGTAAAGAAAGAAGGAGGAGGGAGGTGAAAAGGGGCTTCTTATGTATTTATATATATATTTCTGTATAAATATATACGTCTTCCGCATTCTGTAATGGCCGATGAACTGTTAAGAAATAATGTGGTTAAGGATTTTTTACTCTCTCAGCGAACCTTGTATTGGCTCTTTGCAAATTGGGTCAACGAAGAAGAGAAAAAAAATCAACTCTAAATCCTCTCTCATTGGATTGATTGATAATATTTACGTCCACACGCACATCTAAATAATAATTGCAGCAAATGAGAATAATATTGCTAATAATATGGCAGTGAAAAGGTTAATAGATATATTACAGTTGACCATCTTTGTGGTTTTTTAATTTACTTTTATTATACACTATTGAGTGAAAGAAAAAACGCTTTCAACTTTGACTCTTTCACTCTTTTTTTTATTTCCATTGATTAGGTTACTAAGTTTTATCACTTCTAATTGTATGATGGTCAGACAATTCATTTTGTTTGCTTGGTTGGTTAATGGGTAAGAGGATTTCGGTAAGTAGATCATTCATTGGTTATACTTTTTTATCGGTATGACTATTTAATTAGAGCTTACAACAATTTCACGACAAAAGTTGCACACTTTCAATGAGCAAGAATCGTGAATTCACAATATAACAATAATACTTAATCGTCGTCTTTATTGATTCTCACTTTTCAATAATTTCGATTTCTAGATTGTCAATTAACCTCTTTGGTATATTAAAATGCTTGAAGTCAAAGCTTCAAAGAAAAATTCAAAACAATTAAAAGGTATATTCTTGGAACTATTAATGTTTTGACATAAGATATGCATTTTTGGAGTTTTCTTGCTGTGACAAAAAAAGTTGGTTTAATTTGAATTAAAGATAACAAGGCGAAATTAAACATATCATTTGTTTAATGGAAAGGAATGTAAACTATTATTTACACAAGATTTATATAAAATGCTATTTTACAGATGAGCTTCGAGTAGTTTCAATGTTTCTCTTCAGATGCAATCAAGTGATGCAAGTTAATGAGACAATTCATCAGTGAAAGATAATATCGACTGATGAGGAAAAAGCAAAAGAAAGTGAGATAGAAGGCAAAAAAGCAGAACAAGGTGAGATATTAAATCAGGAAAGGGAAATTGATATATTTGTGTAAGTATACATTGGCTTTTGAAAAAAAAGAGAGCAACCAAATATACAAAAAGAGCCAATTTCCCTTTGTATTAACCTTTACATGATCTAGATAGGTTTTCCAACACCTTTTGTATTAAAAAAAGAGTTGTTTTGTATTTTTGTGGCGTGTAGGATGATAATTGCATTGAATCAAGCTTGAATTGTTTGAGAGATCGATCAATTTTCTCCTCCAAGTTCTTTCCATCTTTTTTCCATGTAACGCCTCATATTATGACCAGCAACACCAACAGGAGATTCATCTTCATTGAAAGTTTCACAATTATCAAATACTAATCGGCAATCAACTAAGAACTCGCTTTTGTTTTTGTACCTGTAAAATGTAAAACAGATGGGATATTAATTTAAAATCAATTACAAAAGTGTTTGTTAAAAGTAGATAATAATGGAAAAATTAAATAAAATCAAACAGAAAATATTTCTTTTAACGTTCAATGTTTGAAAGGGTAACTAACCCTCCTGCTTTTAAATTGTTCTTGATTGTTTCAAAGTCCATAGGTTTTTTAATAATCTTTTTGTAAGTTGGAAATTGTTTGGTATTGACAGGATTTAAGAAAGGCCAGCAATCTTCATGTGCTGTCAAGTCTTTTAATAAATTTTCACATATTACCATCTCTTTGCTTTCCTCACTTTTTTTATTAGTTTTCTTTTCTTTTTTAGTCTCCTTATGAGTAGTAGTTGATTCAGTTGCTGGTTTTGTCTCTTTCTTAGACCGATTTGTAACCTTTGACTTTTTTGTTTCCTCTTTGGGAGTAGTCACTGGTGTTGATTTGTTTGGAGGCTGTTCTTTAACTATTTTATCATCTGATGATGCAGAAGTAGCTGCCGCGTTAAGAGATGTCATCGTTTTACGTCCCTGTTTGATCTTCTTTGGTTTACGATTACACATGTTACAACACCATCTTCCCTTAGGAGGCCTAAATATGAAAAATACAAAATTATTGTTAAAAAAATGTAACTATTTGGTAAAATCAAATTAACTTACTTTGTAACAGGTGGATCTAAACAATTGGGGTGAAAAACTTTTGGACATGTATCACAGTTAATCAGTTTTCCTTTTTTGCCGCATATAATGCAAACTTTGTCGATAGTATTCTATTGTGGGTAAATTATAAAATTAAAATGGTTAGCAATTTACATCAATTCAGAAATTTTAAGAGAAATTGGAAATTTAAAAACTTACTTTATTCTGACATTCATAACAGAACCAGTCTCCGTCTGGGACATTTTCCATTTTGGGTTTAAAACAGTACATATGATAACCTCTGTCACAACCATCACACAGAAGAAGCTGAGCTTCATTTTCACCTCCACTACAAAACTGGCAACTCTGAAAGAATAAGTAAAACGTGGAACATCAATAAATAGTCAAGAAATTAACGGATATTTGAATAAGGTTACTTACCGCTCTCATAATTGACTTGTCCCAGGCAATGCAAGATTCCAAGAAATGTAACAATAGAGCTAATTGTGAACCGCTTTTACTCTCACGAACGGCTTCCCGCCAGCGAACTAGCCCAGTAGGGGCATTTTCATCTGCGGCATTATCAGCATATTCATCACCCACTCCATTAGAAGTAGTAACTATTATCGTGTTTGCTTTGAAACCTAATGGTGGTTTTAAATATCGTCTCTCGATTCCAGCCTCGGTAGCCAAGAGACGTTCTCGACCTGCTCTAACAGGATCCAAGATTTTCTTTTTACCTTTAGTTTCTTTGGGTTCATCGTTTTTTGTACTTGATCTGGGCTTTTCTTCGGTCTTTTGTTCGTCTTCATCTTTATCATAAGATTCATAATAAGAAGATAATTCGAATTTGAAACTCGAATCATTGCTTATCTTTGATGAGGGTCTCCAACCTCGAATTTGCATGCTAGAGCTAGCAATTTTTTCTTCTAAGGCTTCAATCTGTTCTAAAACAGCGATATCTAACCGTAAAGCAACCTCTTTGCACCAAACATCATCGTCAATGGGTTCAGGTACACCAAAAGGCGACTCTTGAGACACTTTACGATCAAGATCACAGATGTCAAACTCTGTTATTGCAGCTTTATAGTTTGTTGAAACGTAAGTAAGATATTTAAGAAGTTGCTTTTTGAGATGTTTCTCACGAAAACCTTTTTCATTGAGAGAATCAATGATTGAACGGATTTGGCCAATATCAGTGATAATCCACCAACCTCTTTGAAATTCTTCAGGTATTCGCTTGGGTTTGCGGTGTTGTTGTTTCTTGTGCTGCTCTAATTTTTTCTGCAATTCAGGATCAACTTCGAATTCAGGTCCAGTAAGAAGAGCTGGATTAACAATGAATTCAGCTTCTCCATTTGATAACCCAGAAGTATTTAACTGTTGATTGAGTTGAGGATCACTTGAGTATGATTCAGACTTAGAATGGTTTCCAACGGAATGCGTTGAGTTATTTTGAAACAGAGATCCAGATAGATGAGGATAAACAAAAGTTTCCATGAAAACATTTTGAGATGGTTTAGTTGATGTTGCACTGTCAGATGATGGTTTATCAGATTCTTCACTAGATTCAGCAGTCTTAGATGATTGAGGATCTTGAGTTGAAGGTGATGGTGTCGTAGTGATTGGACAAATTGTTATGGTGGTATCATTACATGGAACTCTTGGCACTACATTAAACCAAGATACGGCTTGATTGTTGTCAAAAGGGAAACCTGACGCATCAAACAATCCATTTCTCGAATTAAATTCAGCGTTTAAATTTGAAGGACCTACTTTAGAGTCAAATAATGACGATCTAGGAATACCATCAGTAACTGGGGAAATCCATGTTCCTTCATTGCTATTGTTTATCGGTTGTCTTAACGTATTAACACCAGCTATTTCCATGTCACACTTGATTTCTTCTTTTGGAAGCGGTTTCAATGGAGCAGAGACAGGTTGAATAGTCACTGTCGTTTCACGATTTGGTTTCTCTTCTGAAACAATTCCTTTGAGTTCAATGGTGACTTCAGGAGAAAGTGAACATTTACCATCAACAAGATTTTCAAGTTTAACTCTTCCTGGTTTCTCCTCTTTCACTTCTTTTATCTCAGTAACTTCAATTATTTCTTTTTTCTCTGAGTCTGATTTATCATCCTGTGCGTTTTTATCCTCTTTCATTTCAACGTCGACCGAGGTTTCATCTTTCACTTTAGAATCAACTTTAGATTGTTTCTCTTGAGAAGATGCATCATGCTCTTTCTTGGCTTTTTTTCTTCCTCTCCCTTCGCTTGCTTTTTCTTTAACTTGGATTTCTATTGCATCATTTTTAACTTCGTCCTTTGAATCATCCTGATTGTCAGCTAATTCATTTTTTGCCTCTTTCTTTGAATCACTTTCACTATCTTCGTTTTCTTCCTCTGTCTCGGAAGATTCTTCTTCCTCTTCTTCTTCGCTATCGTCCATATAAAGATTATCCTTATGACCAGATTCCAAACCTTCAACAAATATTCCACCAGAAGCTGGTAAAACCCAATATCGCCGACGATAACGATCTTGACCTATTGGAGTAACTCTCATGCATTGCATTGCATCGGTCAATTTAACATTCATTTGTGCACATTGTTTAGCAAGTTTATCCAGCTTTTTATCCAACTCTTCATTGGTTATGGTTGCTTCTTCTTCTGTTTCATGAACAGTGATGATGATGTTATCATCAGCCTCACTGTCACCACTATCATCTAAAAGACCAGCATCGATCTCAGTTTTGTCAAATTTCTTTAAAGCTTCTCCGGCCTCTTCACTAGTAGCTTTTTCTCGTCTCAATTTAATTGCTTTGTACTTTCTTAATTCACATCCGAGAACCCACTTCTCACGCCGAAGGTTATTGAGATTCTCGACAGTTTGCTCGATTTGACGAACGATGGCTTGATTTGAGGTGAGTTCATTGCAAGTAAAGCTTAAAATATCCATTTTCTGAGCAGCGTTTAGAGATAAAAATGGTTTCCCAGATTTGAGCACTTCGTAGATATTTGTAGGTATGTAATCCTCATCGGATACATCGTGAGAATTTGAAAATGATTGAAAGTAAAGTTTCAATATTTCAGAAAGATTGAAATCAGTAATAGGAGCATCCTTAAGTTTCTGTCCCATAACAGTACTTATATTACACGGGATTCCAGGGTCATCAATGGCACAGACTAGTAATTGATGTAAAGTAGAAACAAGTTCTTTCTCTGCTGATTCATCTAGATTCAGCAAAGCTTTTTGTAGAGTATTCAGAGAAGGTAAACTCTCCATGTCAAAACCAAGAGTTTCACCAAAATTGTTCAAAAATTCAAAAAACATTAAACAGTCGGCAAAAACTTTAGAAGGAAGCTTAAGTCCTGGAATACGATTCAGCGTAGGAAGAGCTTTAGAATTTTTAAGCACCATATCTTCAACGGAGCGTTTTAATTCCTTATGAATTTCAATTTCCAGTTTTCGCTTTTGGAATTTTCGTTCCATAATGGCTCTTTTTTCAGCAATTTCTTGGCGACTTCTTCTTTCCCTCTCTTCAAACTTTTTGTGGTTATCAAGAGCGCGAACCAGCATCATATGTTGTTTACGACGTTCCCTCTCAATTTCAGCGACCATTTCAAGATCTTTCTTTTTGTAGAAATCAGATTCTGGAAAAATTTGTGTTTGATATCTTCGATCAGAGTCTTTTGATTCCTGGAAAGAATAAATTTGAAAATTTTCAGTCAGAAGATAAAAATAAATAAACCCGAGATAGCGCCAAAAATTCAACATACTTGATATCTTCTAAACATATCCTCTCGGAGCGCATCAATTTCCTCAATCGTCACTCGAGTTTGGGCCTATTGAAAAAAAATATTGTAAATTAAAGATTTAATTTTGAAAACTTCCAAATAAACGCATAAAAACACTTAAAATGCTGTTCATGATGCATGAATTTACCTCTTTGATTTTTTGATCATTATAAAATGGAGTATCTCGTTTGAATGAGCGAGGATTTTCATTTTTAGCTGGTCTGGCTTCAGTTTCTAAAAGTATTTCGCTACTACGTCCAGGCTCTAGATTAGATGATTGTAAACGTTTTTTCATATCCTCCAACCGACTTCGAATATCATTTTCCGATAAAAGGTTGAAACTCTGATAAATTTTTCAAGTAAAAACAAATTTGTATTATTAGACGATAGATATTACAGAAATAAATCAAAATCAAAAATAAACCAAATAACTTACAGTTCCTTTTTCTTTTGAATGTTCAATAAATTCACCAATAATTGGGCGAGGGTCAAAACTGAAGTCCTCTTTACGTAACATATTGATATTCTTTTTACTCAAATACTGTGTTCAAAAGAAAAAAATAGATAAATTGGTTAGAATTGAGTGGTCATTTGATTAAAATAAAAGCAACTAACCCGACAAATTTCCGTTATATTTTTCATTTTCTTTCCACTTGAAGAATAATATATTACTTCGCCTTTAATGCCTGATTTAGTGATACATTGTATTAGAGTTTGTCTCCGCCATCTAAAATAAAACAATTTTCATTAGAAATTACGAACGAAAATATTTACGATAGTGCAAATACACAATTGCATAATGCATCCACTCACCCAAATTTCAAAGGTTTACGGAGTTCTTCTTCATTGAACACTTTAGGAGTATCGAAATCAATTTCTTCCGTTTCAGCTAAATCGGAATCTCCTTCATAACCATCCTTGATAGAGTTTCGCTTTTTATTATCCTCTTCAGTCTCACACACAATAACTTTAGAGTTATTAAGATGGGATTTACTGGGTTGGTTGTTCATATTCATATTGGTATGATTCAAAGCACCTAGTGGATCACCATTAAGATGACCAGGGAATAAAAATGAACCGGGAGAAAACATTGGCCAGTTTTGAGCTAGCAATGATTTATAGAATTCTAATGACTGAAGTGGATTTAAGGCACCAGGCGCTGATGCTAAAAGGGAAGCCGCCGCTGGATGGAGGCCACTATTGCCTGCAATTGAAGCAGCTAGTGATGCTGATATTGCAGAATTATCAGATCTAGATGCTGCAGGCGGCGGGGATAATATAGGTGGTCTGCCTCGTTTTCTAGGTTTATTATCGTGAGGTGCATTTGGAATAGTAATGATCTCAGTAGGATTGGAAAGTAGAGACTTTGACTGTTGCTGAAGGTGCTGATGAATTTGAAGTTGTTGCTGTTGGTGAAGTTGTTGTTGATGATGAAGGTTCAAAAGATGCTGATGCTGCTGCTGCTGTTGTTGTTGCTGTTGTTGCTGTTGCTGTTGTTGCTGTTGTTGCTGTTGTTGTTGCTGTTGTTGTTGATGCAATTGACGTCTTGCTTTTTTCCTTTGTTGATTATCCTGATTAACATCTAGAACTACAGCTGATGTTGATGATTTCACTAATCTATTATTATCACTTGTTGTACCAGCGGGAGAATCAAATGACCTTTTAACAGATAAATTTAAAGGTACATCTTTGTCATTAGCATCTTGTTGCACTGTTCTTGGAGATTCAGTTTGGCTTTTAGAAAGATTAACAAGTTTAGAATTTCCTTTGTTACTCTGATCATCGTATTTGGTCAATTTAATAGGTATCTCGGGTTGAGAAGTCAAAGGAGCTTGTGAAAATCGAGATGCATCGAATGGTTGATGAGAACCGGGATTATATGGATTAGAACGATGGTGGCGAAGGAGATTCGCCTGATGAAGTGATTCAAGTTCCATGGCAGGCGCTGACGCAGCTAAAGATGTTGATGCAGATGATTGTTTCGATGAGTTATTATGAATCTGGTGGTGAGGATTGGATTTATTTCGTTTACTAGATGATAGCCTCTCATGATGAAGAGAAGCTTGATGATCATTGCTTGAAGGTAAATTTGGATGAGAATTGAGTGGTCTTTTCAAAATAGAGGCGCCCGAATGAGCGGCTGGTGGGGTTGACCCAATCTCGAAAAGTGACGTCCTTCCAATAGAGGGAACATAACTGATCATTGGTGATATGTAAAAGATTGAAACAAATAAAAAACAATGATTTAATCACATTTAACGAGAAGGAAAGAACAACAATATAAATGAATCCTAATAATTGTTGTTTCACTGAGAAGAACATAAAGGGAGTGTGTAAAGAAAAAAAGAGCGAAAGCTACAAGCCAAAAAAAGATAAAGAGCTGAACAAGACAAACAAGAAATGAAAACATAAGTGAGTTCCATACCTTTTCGAGTATTTATCCATACCTTCTAATTAAGCATAGAAGTCAATTTGGTGTTGAACAAAACGATTTAAATGTAAGTTTAACATAACATGATCCTAATTTGTTGATTATGACGCTTATTAACAACAATTAACAACAAGAAAATTGAGAATACGCTGGCAAAATTGAACCAAAATTGCTGCTAAACACAAAACAGAGAGTGAAGAGAGTGAAAAAATGAGGGAAGAAGAGAGAGAAAATGAGAAAGAGAAAGAAAAAGTGAGTTATATCAGGAGGGAGAGTTAGTGAGAGAAGAAGAAAGCAGGATAGAGAATAAAAAAGAGAGAGCAAGCGAGAGAAAAGAGCAGAGAGCAAGTGAGGGAGAATAGTGATCTCTCTAAAAATTCTCACTCGCTCATCATCTCCGACTTCTTTCTTTTTCCTTTTACCATTTCTTCGAGCTCCCTTGGCTTTTTTTCTCACTCGTTCAGATTATGCTCTCTCTAACTCTGTTTATTTGGTTGATCTCAGTTTTTTTACAAAAAAAAAATTAAGGGAAAAGTTTTGTTATTTTGTAATGATTAATCAGTTCAACTTTTATCTGTGTTTACCTATTAGTGATTTAAATGTGTCTCTAAGTTACTTAAACTGTTGACTAGTTCAGTGTGGACGTTAACCTTGATTGGAAATAATATCATTTTATTCAACACAATTTTAATTTTATCAACTTATTGTAATTTTAACAGTGAAACTTATTTCACTTTTCAGTCGACGAAATTATTTTTCTGCTCGAAAAATATTATCCAAAAACACTAGAGAATGGAGAATGTTTTGATCAATAAAGAAAGATTGAGAGAGAGAGAGAGAGAAAAGAGAGAAAAGAGAACAGATAGAGAAAATGGAGGCCTCACTCTGCAATTTCTCTCTCAGAGCTGTAATGATCTATCTCTCTCTCTCTCTACTCTTTTCTCATCATCATCATCATCCTCTCTCTCTCTCTCTATTTCTCACTTGTCTGTAATGAGAAAGTGGGAATTCTACAACAAGAGAGCATGAGTGAGCTCCATTTCAGCATTCTCCTTCTCATCTCATCTTCTCTTCTCTTTTCTATGCCTCCCTTTCAGCTCATTGATCGAAAGATGAAGATGAGTCTCACTCTCCCAGTATTCTTCTGAGTGAGTCACTTGCTCAAACTTTCATATCATCATCTCCTTTTTTCTTCTTCATCCTATCGTCATCATAATAATCATCAACATTGGTGGAGAAAAAATAAGATGACGAGAAAGTTGTAAAGATGAGAAAGGCAGAGAGAATCTGATGAGATGAATAGATGACGATGATGATGATTATGATGATTATGAAGTAAGCATGAGAACGAAAAAAATGAGTCCATGATGATGATGTTATATCCAATTAGAACTCGAACTGCAATTTAAGTTGAGATACATTTAGCTGTTCAATTAAAAGCGCGCCAAAACCAATAGTTAGCAGTTTTCAATGTTTTAACCTATTAGGTTTTTTTGACATGATTAGTCTTAAAAATTGAAATGAAGCAACCTAAAAGTGAAAAATGTGATAAGAACTGCTGATAATAGAAACAAAATTGCCGACAGTTTCTCACTTATCACACACTCTGTGTACGTTGTTAACGGACTTTGATAACAGTCTAATAGTTTGATTTAACTAATAACTATTATGTAAAAAAATTAGGTAACGGCGATCGTCTGTTTATTCAACAGATAATTCCTTGTGATGATTCTTTTCATCATGAACAGAATTCATCATCATTTCATTGCTAAAAATGAAAGAAACAAGAAGAAGAGAGAGGTAACGAGAAAACAGAGAAGAGAGGAAGAAGAGGAAAAAAAAGAAGAAAAGAGAAGAAGAGAGAAACAAAAAAAAGGAGAAGAGAAAACTCTTGCATCTTCATGTTTCCATGTCTCCCTCTCTTTTGGGTTCTCGTCTGAGAAGAGAACAAGAGAGAAAAGAGAATGGAGAAAGATAAGAGTGAGTCAGGGAGAAAAAGGGAGAGAGAGAGAAAGTGAGAGAAAAGAAGGGGAATAAAAAAAAGGGAAATGAAAAATAGAAGATAGCAAAGAAGAGAAAATGGTTATTTTTTTCATCATGAAAATAGAAGAATTCACTAAATATATCGATTGAACTTTGTTATACGATGTCCAAGTTTAACAATATCTCGTGATTCAGATCAGATTTTCAACAGTTTTGGGTTGATAGTCATTAGCGCGCCAAAAGCGAAACCAATCCAAATGGTTAACAACCGAAGGTAAACCAGGAATGACAGAGACAATCACATTATTAATAACGTCTAAACCAGGGCAAGAGTGTTTACTCTTTGAACCAGAGACAAAAAGCTGTAACTTTACAAGAAAATGATTTCTGGTTTTTAGTTAAAAATCAAATCCTATTTAGCTGTTATTATAACCTGTTGAGTAAAAGTGAACCGTTTTTTCTTGTGACAAATGTAAATGTGACATTTATAAGTGGATTAATTGGAGAGCCTTAAAATGACCAGATAACTGGAAAATTTACTTTACATCATGAAATCTTTAATTTCTTTTCTTTGTTTCCGTTAATCATCATCATCATGTTAAATATGAAACATGTAAAAATCGTAGAACAATCTTCAACAAATACAGAATGGTTTCACCAGAAAAACTCTTACCTTTCCAGGCCATTCCTTTCCAGGTTAGAATCTGAATCTTACCTTTTACATTATCTTTTACATCATTTCCATCATCATCAACATCTCAACCATCTTCTTCTTCTTCTTCTTCTTCTTTTTTTCTTCTTGCTCACCATCATCATCATCTTCTTCGTAAGAAGAAGCAACAACAACAACATCATCATCATCAAAAGCAACATCATCATCATTCTCTCTTCTCTTATTTTCAGTTCAGCTCTAATATTTCTTTCTCCTTCTTTCCATCATCATCATCATCATCTTCTTTTCTCTTTTATTCTTCTCCCCTCTCTCACTCTCTCCTCAACATTAGTTGAGAAGAGGGAATCAGAATGAGAGAGAAAGAGAGAGTAAACTTCGAGGTCACAAAGGATGAAGGAGAAAAGGAGAGAATAGGAAAAAAATGAAGACGAAGAAGAAGATGATGATGATGATGATGAGGACGAAGGGAAGATAAATAGAAGAAAAGAAGATAGAGAGAAAAAGAATTGAAGACAAGATTTTTTTCTTTTTCTGGCTACATTTAATGAAAAATATATTCTCTTTATGATGATTTGTATCTTAAGGTTTTTTGGATTCATAGGTGAACAGAAACTTCATTAATCACTGAAACCTATTAGAAGCGTTACTAGCTGATAGAAGAATCACAAAATTATTTAATAAATTCAAACCGCAATTCAAATTGATACAAATAATCTCCTTCGCGGATTCAGAGGCAATCATTTAGTAAATGTAAATGATTATCTGATGAAATGAATGATTTGTTCTTTAATAAAAACAATTTCAAATTAATTGAACTCAAAGAGTCTCTACCATTCTCTCATGATATAAAATAGTGCATTATAAAATGAAATAAATGAGTTACATGATCAGCTAGCATTTGAAACATTAAACTCAAGAAAAACAAGAAACTGCACAAGTAACTTCCGAATCGCATGAAAGATGGCGCTATTTACAAGAGTGGAATTAAATTTCTAATAAAATTTCACAATTAGTTGATTAAAGATATCCAAATTATGGTAAAGTCTTTGGCTTATTCTGGATGCAAATATTGCTATTTCTATCAAGTCAAACTGGAATTAACTCTTAAAAAAGCTGAATGAACCTGCCAATGATAAGACAAAATGAAAAACAATAATTAGCAGTTTGATTTAGTTTAATAACAATGATTACGATAACTTGGTTAACTCTTGTAAACTAGATATCATGAGAATAGCTAATAATAACTTTCAAATATCAACTATCAAATACACACATTCGTATCAAATATTGAAGCATTTACTTTGCTTGTGTCATGTAGATTGGACCATTGCCTCAGAAACGTCTAACTCTGGGATACTTTACCTCTAATGAAACCCGTTGAACATCTTCAAGAGAAATATAAGAATTTTAAGATCTTGGCGATGTATTCAGCCGTTTCTCTCGGCTTTATTGTCTTTAATATGATTTTAAATGATTAAAACGGAGACAGATTGCAAGCAATTAACTATACATTAGCCTGAGACAAGAGGCAAACATTACAATCACTTTTAGAGTGTAGTTTTAATATGAACTAACAGATGTCATAAACTTTCAATAATTTTCAAATGGCCTTTCAACTTACCAGATTAAATTTGTTTAATCAGTTTTGGTCTTCTGACTTGATTCTTGTTTGTGTAGCCAATTATGTGAGAGTATTAATGGTGTCCATTAAATTAACCAATCAGCTGATTTCTCAGCAATTAGGGCAACAGTTACAAAAACATCCAAGGTAAGTATTTAGTCAAAATTACGTTTAAATGAAATTTCTATTCCACTGAATAGGTTTAAATTCAAATCTCTACACCATTATTTATCATTAGTATCGATATTTCAATGATATTCTCACCGTATAAACACTTTCAATATAAACATATCATTCCACATTAGCATAACACTTGTTTAATGTCTGTCTCTCACAGTGCACCTGAGAATGTCTGACAATTAGTTTTTAGTAAATAATTAAAATTAGTCTGTTTCTAGACAGAATCGTCTTCTTAAATATATAATCGCAAATTTTCATGACATATATTTATTTATTAACCTTTTATTATCTCTTCATCTGTATTTGCTTTCCTTATTTTCTTCAAAATTTAGCTAATAATTCATTTAAACATTTCTATTGACTCTAACTTAGGCATCAATGACGTTTCCATTGACGAGTTCATCAGCTGGTAAAAATACTGATAATATCAATGATAAAGATTCTACTATTTGCTCATCTGATTCAATTGCTTACCACAACATGAATTGCTATTGTATACAACTGTCATTAATTCAAGCTTTATTGTACTGATGGATAGAGTGACAAGGTGACACACATGAAATCAAAAATGAACAAGTAAAAGGTTTGGATAAATGATGCAAAAGCATTTGTTTTACATGAAGATTGATCCTGAGAAGACATGAGACAAAGAAATGATACAAAGATTCACTCAATTGGGTAAAATGTTTCACAATTTAAACATGACACTCTATTAAATCACCTTTTGGACTTTGATATTAACCGAAGTTTATTGTTAGAATCAGCACTTCTTACAGTGATCCGTCTATTAACATTATGGGTAGCTTATCCTAGAGATTATGAATAAATTGATAAACATAAAGATGAAATAAAGTCATAATATTTCAATCTGATTCTCTCAAGGGCTTATAATGATTACGAATGAACAGATAAATCAAATGTTTGGTTTAAAAGCGAAAGAAACAAGATGCAAAAAAATCTCTGAAAGTAAACCAGAAATCGTAAAATTATCAAGGTTTTTCCTTCATCTATTTTCATGATTAATGATTGTTATCATCAAACAGCCTCCAAAATGAATATAATTTCAACTTTAAGAACAAGAAATTTCAAGGTTATGTTTACAATTTCAATTGAATCGAGCCTTTACTCAGTTTTTCCGCCATCAGTCAACATGCAAGATTCAATTCAACTCAATTTTGATTATTGTTGACAATGTTTAATCCATCCGCGTCTGTATGAGTTTGAGAAACGATTATCAGTATTTGTCGCTTGATCCTCGGCTGATTAGTGCTTCTGGTTTTATCTTTCAATTGATTTTTCGCTATGAGTAAAAGTATAACGGGAATCAATTTCAAGTGTTTGATATGAAATGTCAGCAATTATCTACAAAAGATGAAACATTAACCAGAATCACTGCCAAGTTAAAATGTTGCTCTTGTATATTTATTGAATGTAAATTGTATTTATAACATAATTTCAATTTGTTTCATCATTCCTTTTTTGGTTATTCAATTGTTTTAATTTAATTATCTTTGATTTTCATGTTAAATTAACGTTTTGTGACAACAAATGGCAACCAAAACATTAACCCGATTGCTATCGACATCTATATCTCAACAATTGAATAAAAAGATTGGACTGGTTGGTAGTTGTTTTGACAAAGGACAGCCTAGAGATGGTGTTCAATATGGACCCAAAGCCTTCCGAGAAAATGGTTTAATTCAAAAATTTGACGATCTACATTTGGATTATAAAGATTATGGTGATATAAATGTTAAAGATGTCTTGGAAAATCAAAGTGATCTTTCAACCTCAACGTCACCAGCCAAATTACCAGAAAAATTGATCAACAGTAAACTTAAAAATGTCCAACTGGTTGCTGATTTCAGTAAACTGCTTAGTGAAAAGGTTCACCAGTGTTTAAAAGATGATAGAATCTGTCTCAATATTGGAGGAGATCATACTCTAGGTAATTACCATGTGACAATTAGAATAATTGTGCTTGATTAATCAATAATGTAAGCCCATTCAAGCTTTGAAAGCTTTACCTAATTTTGATGTATTTATTGTTTCTGCTTGCTTACTAAATCTTTTTTTGTTTCATATCATAGCGATTGGAAGTCTTTTTGGCCATATTAAATTTAACCCAAAATTTTCAGTCCTCTGGATAGATGCTCATGGAGATGTAAACACAGAGAAAACGACAAATAGTGGAAATATTCATGGAATGGTGTTGTCCTTTTTTATCCAAGGAATCCAAAGTGAAATTGAAAATTCACCCGATTTGACATCTCTTTTTCACTCCATCCCTCCAAATCTTGACTGTTCATCTCTTTGTTACATTGGACTTCGTGATCTGGATCCTCCTGAACGTCATTTGCTTGACAGTCTTCAAATCAAATATTTTACCATGGGTGATGTTGATAAACTTGGCATCAGCGAGACAACTTCAAGAGCATTGGACATTCTGAAACCATCTGCTAATAAACCTCTCCATGTGAGCTTTGATGCTGATTCTCTGGATCCTTGTTATGCTCCATCAACAGGAACTCCAGTTCCCGGTGGATTGACTCTGGATGAAGCTTTAACTTTGGCTAAAACCGTTTCTGCGACTAATGCAATAAGATGTATTGATTTTGTTGAAGTCAATCCTAAAATTGGTGAAGCTAAAGACGTTATTAAGACGGTAGATAATTCAATCAAGATACTTCTTTCACTTTTAGGTAAAAAATATTTTAATATTAAATCATCTATCAATAACTCTCAATTTTGAATGATCAAAAATTAACTTACTTTTCATTTTTTTATTCACAGGTGTAACGAAATAAGTTGACGAGATCGGGAAATTCATCTTTAGATTATTTTCAACTGCAATAAACGTTGAAATTTGCTGGTTATTTCACACCTATGTTAACATATCATCATTTTTAATGATTCACTAAATTATACAATGTATTATCAAAAAATAGAGTATTTACCTAAACTAAAGTGAAGTAAATATGAAAATATTTCTATGGTCATTACTTTAAGTTTTTAACAAGATCTAACAGCTAAGATAGTAGATGGGCTCGATTGTTGAGGATTTGTTGTTTTTCACATGAAATATCAGCTTAATTATTTACTTACAAGTTAGATAACCAATGCCAATAATTTGGCAAAAATGAGATTCGGTTGAGAATAAGGATATTAATATAACTATAAGGAGATTTGATTTTAGTTTCTTTGCTAAAAATTAAGACATTTCTGCACAAATCGTCAAAAATTGAAACAAATGGACAAAAACGGGTAGAAATGAATCTAATGGCTTTATACTCTGTGAGTTTGTAGAGATATGTAAACTGAGTGCATTGGTGCTAATAAAAAATTCATCCGATAGATAGATTTCGAGGAAATCGAGGATAAAGTTGAAACTTCGATCGACTTTTCTCCAGCTATGAAACCAGATTTTTTCAGGAAACTTACCTTACTGATGTATCTTTTAATAATAAACCAGAAAATCATCTAATTTTGAGGAATAAAATTTCCTTGTTTCTGTAAAACAGCTAAGTTCGATTTTTATCTAAACCGATCACATTCCATAAGCGTGAAAGTTATCGCTCTGAAACTTATGCTTCGTACATAAAAAACTGTTTGTTCAACCCATGCATTGATTACTTTATTCAATTTATCAACCGTTCTCTTGTTTTCGGACACTGGACTTAAAACTTTTAGAGCTCAATATTTCGAGAATGACATCATCTACAATCATTATTCTTTCGCCAGAATAATTCTCCACTAATTATAATTCAATGCAATTTAATTACTTTCAATAAGCCCATTTGGGTAACGATATTTAAGTTACAAATGCATAAGAAACAACTTTTTCAACAAACAAAACTCATATTAATGCATATCTTGGTAAATAAACCAATTTTCTGGTTAAACTTGCGTATGAAAAACAAAAAGTAACGCTAAAGGCTCGAACATTTGGGTTATAAGTTGAGACTTAGTAGGTTTTGTAGGGAATTAAAAGCTGAGTCCATTGGTGCTTATAAATAGTTCATCCGGTGAACAGTTTTCTAGAAAATCGAGGTCGAAGTTGAAACTTTGATCGCATTTTCTTCAGCTATGGAAGCAGATTTTTTCACGAAACTTATTTTCCTAAAGTTTATTTTGATGATGAACCAGAAAATGATCTTATTTCGAGAAATAAGATTTCCCTGTTTCTGTAAAACAGTCAAGTTCGATTTTTATCTAAACCGACGCCATTCCATAAGCGTAAGAGTTAGCGAGCTGAAACTTTTGCTTCGTCCATAAAAATTGTATGTACAC